AGTATCATTCGACACCACCCTCATCGTCCGCGATCAGATATATGGTCCCTGGGCAGCTTGTCCTGTTCAGCTCCGCTGGGTTATACCTGCAGTCCACGTGGATGGTCAGTTTACCTCCTATGAAAAGAGTCCCTATCTAACCACCTCCAATCAGCTCTCTCCTCGGCTATTCCCTGGCGGGGCAACTAATTATATTATCAGGACGGTTGCCCCCAACGTCACGACTAACCTACCTGATGAATAAGTATCACAAAACTGGAAGAAAACCTCAGTTTCAGATCCTCTGCCAATTCTGGCTGTACTCAAATATCATCCCGATCTATTTTCTCCTTCCGGTATCCGAGACACGTCCAGTACGCTTCGCTATCAGGACTCGTTTGCTGAAGACCGATCGCCCTGGTTGGAGACAAAAGTCGAAGATGAATGTGCATCATCCCACGGGTTGATTAAGTCAGGAACCTCATGCGGAATATTGGATTCCCAGTCTACGTTTCTTGAGCACCCACAATGTTTCCCATGCGCTCGTCGGGGCACTTGACCGACCAGACAACCCTTCGGAACCTACTGAAGAATGCATACTGAAGCCCCGATCCATCGTCGTTCTTTCCCCCTGGGACCGTCACGATGCCTCGGCAACATATATACATCCAGACACCATCGCCTAGTGTGGAGAACACAGACGGGGATGAATACTTCAGCGAACTGGCCAGCAATACAAAGCCGGATTGAGAGTAGCCCGTGATGCTTCAGCCCCCTTCATACGGGTTGCATAGCGTCTGATGTGATGACACTCCGATCTAGCATCGCGCAGGAGCCTGCTACTCTATTCACACAAATCACAGATCAAGCGGAGTTTCATGAATCCATCGATAGTCGATACGATGACACTGCCGAGTGCAGTTGAAAACTTTTTGCCTGAGGCAATTACATATAATCCCTAGCACAGCATCAAACTCCTCGGAGGTTCCTATGTGTGCTCAGTGAGCCGCGCATCATCTGCTTTTACCCAGGAAACGGATATGTCACGTTTTTTATGCCTATACCTTTATGGAAGCCTCGCATAGCTTCTCCTCGCATCTCCCTCAGCTTGGATTAACAAGGCCCTTCTGGTAGGAGTAAGGAAGCCAATACCGGTGGAAACAAAGGTCCCATAATTGGATGCTGGAAGATTTGGATCACCGCAACCATTCAGAAGAGCTGAAAACCCGCGCTGGAATTTATCCCCTTATGGCTCGGGTGATAGCATCCCTGATCGTCTATCCCACCAGTCCGACGAAGAAAGATGTAATCTCAGCATGAACGAGCCCTATACCTCGTTTGGATGCACCGTGACAGCAGCGCTGCAACAAAACGTGATACCATCGGAGTGGGAGGGGCATTTACAAGCCATCAAGAAAGTCAGGACCGTGGTCCATGCATGGTGAACTAGTACGAGTCGGTCAAACACAATCCCTGAGGGTGGGCTAGCTGCGCACGTGGAAAATCCCACCGTTACCGAGCTTTGACAAAGGCTACGCCAAAATTGTCATCCAGTATGGTCTTTCTCTCCAAGGCAATATTGCTATGCATGTGGCCTTCGCCGACATACCGATCATTACCGCCAAGGGGATAAACGGTTCACCCACCCTTTAACCTGCCATTAGACCCTGACGAGATAACGAAGTACATAAAACACTCAGCATCCCATCTGATTGGCCTGCTTCACGAAGCTCATCATCTGGGATAAGCTCCCCGTGATAAAAGCAATCGCATTTGACAATACCGATTTTGATTTGAATTTCGCTATGGGTGACAACACCAATGAGACGACTCTTCCCATGACTTGGGAGGGTGACTTTCAACTAACATGGCCTACCGTGGTGCGTATTTCCTCGAGTGCCTCTTTTGACAGGTAGTCTCTTATCACTTCCTCCACTTTCCTTTGAGTGAAGAACAATACTAACCTCTGATATCCGATCAGGCGCCATGTTTCACGGAATTCCAAAAGCTGAGAACAAACCGGAAGCCCTCAATGCGTGTCGCTACTAAATTAAAAGCGTGGATGACACCTGATATTAGCTCTGATTCATCTCCTTTATTAATCCCAATACTCATCCATGTTCCTTCTTGCATTGTGACTGCCTGCGCACAATCGGACTTACGAGTCTCACCACCAGGCCTGGATTGCACCGGATCGAACAAGCCAGTCTCTCCCTGTGCTCTCTTCTCCTGCTCACTCCCTCGTCTTTATCAAGGAGAGCACTGGCCACTCTTTAAAGTTATCATCCGATCGATGTCCACAAACAACACCAACAACTTGCCCTACGAATCGTATCATTGGCCGCGCGTCTATGGTCTTTGTCATCTCAGCACATCTGGCTTTAGAACATGACCTATGTTCATGTTGGCCAATCTACCCATAGTCAACATCTATTACCCTACTAGTCATGTACTACTAACATAATAATTCTTGTCCAATTGCTTTCCACATTACCAGCATCGCTTCAGCAATAGTGCCTCCTCCACGCCCCGTCCTGGATTATGAAGGCGTCTTGAGAAGAGACAGCTCAAAGCTCTGACTAGTACTTGTTGTAGCATTACTAGGTAATGCCCAGACTACTCCCTTCACCGTTCTGTGTTAACTGTTGCCTACGATGGGGCCAAGCAGTGTACTTGCAGCGTGAACCAAGTGTTCTCTAGCAGCTACAGCGATGAGAAGGCTACCGATGAGGAAACCGGCCAGAGCCTCTATTGACAAGTCCGGTGCTCTGGCTGTCCGGCAGTCCTTCAGCGAGGGATTTGCGAAGTTCGATGGCTGATCACCATAATCGCTGGGGCATGAGAATGCCATCTATTTTCTAGGAAAGCTCATCATGCCCCGTGGCTTTGTGTCAGGAGTCTGCACGGATGAATCTTGCAGCCTAGTTCCTGAGGCCCAATGACAGAACTTACCATCCTGGCGACTGGAGTGTGATCGCGGCACTGATCGCAGAAATCCTCACTTATAATGGCGAGGAGAGGTGCTATGGTAAGTAAATCGTACATAATCCTCTTAGAAACCATGGCTCATACAGATCCCTTTCAGTGACATCGCTGATGAAACCATCTCGCATGGAGAACAGTACCAATTCATGTCTCTGCAATCCATTAGCAGGCCCCATTCTGCGATACTGCTATCGCCTCTGAAAGCGCCCCATGCTATCGGCCCATCCTGGCCGCTGATTGTTCCTCCTTGTGGGAGACTGGGATTCTTACACCCTCTTGTTGGACTTTGAATCGATCCAGAGCTCAGTAGGTGCCCCATCTTCTTATTCTTTCACTTGACTGAACACGAACTCAATGTGCTAACTCTCATCTACAGCTCCTGCCTGGCATTGGACGACCACTAGGAGAAATGGGCAGCACTACAGATGTGGAAACCCGCATGCTCTGACCAAACAATCAAAAAAGCAGGATTGGGGCATCAGTGTGAGCAGATCCCAGATACGATCGTACATCGATTCTAACCTGCTTTCCAGGCCTGTACCGTTATATCTCACCAGCGCCTACCAACCGACCAGGGAGCCGCGCTCGCCTACTTTATGAACAACGCCACACACTGGTCAAGCTATTTTATCAGCCTGTCAAATCATCCAAGTATTTCATGCCGAAAACCAAGTCCACCAGGCGAAATGTTCGACTCTGTCGTGAGAGAACTTCTTCTCGACCTCTCCTTGTACCCAACGAAATGATGTGACACCATATCTCCGGGGAGAGTGCAAAGGAGCCGGGGAAACGGTAACTTTCTACTGAATCGCGGGCGCGACTATGCCAATCTATCAACATATATATGGCTCTAGTTCAGAGCCCAGCGCCGTCCCTGCAGCGATTTACACCCCGTTGCACCATCCCATAGAACCATCTTCCTCGGTGGACCTGGTGTACTTGACATGTCTACGACACGACTCCTGAGATCCCAGAAGAAACTGTCACATCCGGCCAGCACATGTTGTCACCCTCCTAATGATCCGCCCAACTGGCCAGCAATACAATGGCTCTAACGGTGGCTGGTTGCCGGCATACTTCCTCTCAAAAACTACGGTGACAGCTTGCAATTGATCGCATTAAGCAAAACCAATCTAGTGTCCTTTATACCTTCGGAACAAAGGATCATCAACCTCTCCTGTTCACAATGTAACTTAGGACAGACCTTCCTTATTTCCGACGGTGGCGAGACGAGTGGATGGTCCCTCTGGTCTTAACAGACTCAGCATACCGCAGTACCAAAACTTTGAGAGATTTTCATAAAATATTCGGGGCGTGTGGCAATTGACATCGTCAATGCCCATCTGCGGTGTCATCGGGCACTTCCTCACTTACCGAAATTGATTGCACGCTGAAAGCACGTTATTTTCACTACCACATCTCAACTTGGCCATTGGGATGACCGTCTGTGACTTGCGCCTTCTATGATGCCGTCTGCGGCGCGAGCAAGACATGGATCGACGCCCTCCCATCCCATATATAGCTCGCTCCTGGATAATAAATGGATCCTTGAAACCAAGGAGCTTTTATCCACCATGCCCTTCTGGAAGCTCCTCGTTATTACACCTTTCTCGCTCAATCGCGATCATTTATTCACTTGTCGGTTCCCTTGGCTCGGCTCGAACAGCACCACCACAGCGCGTGTTCAGACCGCGATCTGGAGGACAGAAAGTGAGATGCACGCTCAGATCAATTCTACAACACATGATTGGCTCTGTCTTAAGTCAATCTTTGCAGCAACAGACAGTAGCGAGGGTATACAGCGATACCCTCCATGCCCTAGGCAGCTGCGAGGAAGGTGTGCAGCCTTTGTAATCCAGCCCAGAGAGACCCAGAATGAAAGATACTGCCAAATGCAATGAAGTCACATTTCATGGGTTGTTTTCCCGAGATTCTACATATCTGGGAGCAAGTTCCATGAAGAGGTTGCGACGGAGAAGATTATGCAACCCCATGGTGCAGTTTTTGGGCTTCGGATATGGACCAGCAAAATACATTTCCTGTTCCAGACCGATCCTGATCGCCATCTGATGAATTGGCCTGGATTGTGCTCCACACTACGGATGCGATCATTGGCTATCGACCCTCCTGATTTTGATCAACAAGCCGGTTCTGATAGAGTACGCCGACGCCCTCCTCTATACATATTACCTGCGCCTTCTTGCGACGCCATCCCTAATGGTCCATATTACACCTTGCTTCTACGCCTATCACGGACAATTCGAACCTGGCAAAATTGTTGGCCACACATCCACGATGAGATACTCTCATCCTCTGGTCAACATTCACCTAGAGCTTTATCCGGCGGTTAGCAAGTTTTTTTTTGAAAACAGTCTTCAAATTCTCCGTCTTGTATTAAGACTTCGATGTTCCAGTGGGTTCTACTATTGCTGTCCCGAGCCGAAGATTCTGCAAGTGGTCTGCAGCTGCGGCCAGCTGCTCTCGGGAAACCTGATCCTCCCACTGACTTTCGCAACATGGCACATATCGCATTTCCAACTCCGGTGGCACTTCGAATTATCAGTGGTCTTGGAGGCGCAGGGGTGGTTATGTCCGGTGGAGTGGCGGCACATCATTACGCTGGATTGCACCACACAACTGATGCTTGTCCCCTGCCGATTTCTTCACATTGGCGCTTTATTCCGGCATAATATAGATCTGTTGGTGATTGTGGAGATGTCAATGACATTTCTTCTGCACAAGGTCGGATTCTCGAACAGCACCGAACTGTTTGCCCGAACGGACAGCTATACTTTCATCTCACATGGGGTTATATTATCAATCACCGTATTCTGCTTCCTGGAAATGGTATCCCTATCGGAGCCGCTGATCGTTTCGATGAAAGGGAAATTTTATCACAGACATCCTATGGCTGGACTTGACGGGACTTTTACAGATCTGGAACGTCTGTGACACGGCATAGTGTTCCACAACTAGTGAGCGGAGTGAATTAAGGCGAAAAACGGAGGTGGAGAAGCAGCCCTCCAGGCAGACTTGGACTATGCCAACTCGAGCAGTACTTTTCATTGCCTTACGCCTTTGCTTGGATACAACCGTCATGAAGTGGGAGGAAATTATGCTCTTTCCCTTTCTGAATCCGATTATTATCCGCTACAGTTATACCAATTTCGAAACGGCTGTTGTTTATCACGAGATATTCATCACAATCCGTCATATCACGGAGGATCTAGGACTAATCTCCGGCACATCGTCGACGTGAAGTGGTGGTCAGCAATCCAGGCTGCCTGACCAACGCAATGCGGGCATTCTTTATTCGACTATCCCATGTGTGAAGTTGTCACATGCCCTGCATCCCAGACGACTATGAACTTCCGGGTTCAGCCTATGCGATGAAGGGGTTTGGGCCAGGGAAACCCTATGGTTTGGGGTATCATATTCTGTTCCCAGGCTTCACAAAGCTACACCATTGCTCCACTACCACGAAGTATCTAGGGCAAGATTGGCAAGCCGATATTGTCATGCTTTCAGGATGACAGTACTGGTGGTTCGACATCGACCCCCACCTACCTTCCTGTCCTCTTCTCATGAACCGATGACACATGGACGACGGGAAACTGAGACGCATACCGAGGTGGTGATCTCTACTGTCTACGGCAAGGAGACAACCTGTACGATTCCTTCTATATCACGTCAAGAGGTTACACGCACCTGCCACTATAACGCCTATAGGTGCTATGTGGTTAGCTGCATAGGATCGATAACCAGCCACGCAGAGGCGAGCTATCGAAGCCGACCAATTCGGTTTGAAACTTGATCTACTTCTACTCATCCATCCGGTGGTCGCAGAGATCATCTACGCAAACGGGGGAAAAGGGTTCCTGGGTACATTTTCTCGCGTTTCCGGGAAAACCAACATCGAACCTCCTGCCCTGTCTGGGCCATTGTCCCGGCGGTAGTAATTAGCGGCAATCCCAAATTTCGTGACGGTTCCTGGATCACCTCACAGGACCAGGGAGACAGACTGGATATGCTGATCCAGTCACTAATACAGATATGGGTTCACAGCACGCAGGGAGTATCTATTGAGATAGCTCGCATATGATACCTGTCACCCTTCCACAGCTTGCCCCATATCACGCCGCCAAGAAGGATTAATGGGGCTTTTGTATATCAGATATCGCGTGGCTATATATGTCATTCCACGCGACTCAGTTGATCCTTTTCGATATTGGGCGGACATTACAAACGCCAACTAGCCTTGCATGTCTTCAATCGCTCAACTTCCGGCACCCCAATGACGAGCCATCCACCAAATCCTAGGTCGCTCCAAGGAAAGCCTGAGCCTGTCTCCGAGCTTGTGTGGTTATACCCTGGCCAACAATCATTGGCAGCTCATCAAAGCCGGCACTTATTGGAAGGATTCTCACACTGGAATGAAAAGGAATACGTCCTTGGTGCGGGGTCAAATTAACCCGCAACGCGTCCATATCAACTATTCCGATTAGGACTCACACTTTCGGTCGCTGGGTTCTACATGAGAACGTGGACGACCCTATGTCTGGACCAAGCTATTTCTGGTCCAAAACCACTCGATCCACAAGCTGTGGATTTCAGCACCTGCCATAAAACTGAAGTCACTTACTCCGAGTAGCTTCCACATCCTTCTGTTATGGTGAGAAGAAGCAAGGCACTGCTGGCGTGGCAACTCTAGTCGCCGACTTCGGCACCCAGCTTTGAAGCCCTCTCCGCTATGCGACTCTACGGAATGGGAAGGAACATCAGGCTTGTCTTCACTGCATGATGAAGGGAAACGATAACGTCGGATTCCGATCCTGCACAGTTCGGTTGGGGATACAGAATCGAGAGCCGAATGAAGCCAACACCTAATTAGAGCTTTTGGTGGACGATAGTTTTCAGGCCAGCATTCCTCAAACCATCAGCCCGGGGGACTTCGAAAGGCAGCCATAAAGAGGCATCTCCAATGTGTTCTGGTCCTGCACGCAATCAACAAGAGGGAGTCCTTATCGCCACGCTGTCTGTCGTTTTGACACAATACCGAGCAGTTTCACCTGACCAGACTGGATGCTCCGGGAACATTTTTCTGGACAGTGTTTGTGAGGTATCAACGGCTTCCATCTAATTGCGTTCTACATTCCTGGGGTGATGGAATATGCCCAAGGAATTATAATAGGGGTCGACTTTAGAACCACGGCCACAGGTAAGACTTTCCTTCATTTATACCGTTCGAGAGGGAGTACTAATTACTTGGGCCAGGCTATTGAGATCCTCCTCAAACTATGTCATCTTCATCGACATCATGCCGAGCCCATGTCAGAGGTCAGCTTATTTCACGTGACTGGCCAGGAATTAACACTATCTAATATCGAATCCTTTTCGCTGAAAAACGTCGTTTCTTTTAATTGTCTCTTGTTCTTTTTTGTACCCCTTCTCAATCTCCCTTTTTAATTCATTTTTGATTCGTTTGTCTGTCTGTGCAACAAACAGAAGAAGCACAGTTCCGGGAGTTGAAAGCTACAACGAATGGTCAAAGACATCGACAGTATGTTCGGAATGCTTGACCGTGACAGGCTTCAAAAGCACCTATTTCCGGCCTGATCCGAGGAAGGAATATTCGTTCGCTGGTGTGGACAGAAGGAGAATTTCTTCAACGACATTGATCTTCCCCCCAACGTGACGGACTGAAACAACCCGCCTCTCCTTGGGCACATTACACACTGCATGCTGAAGGTCGAACATGCTACGTAGGTTTCCCCCCTCCCCCCGCAATCCCTTGAGCAATGCTAACCATCTCGCAGGGGGTCATCTTCGCCTATGGCCTGACAGATTCCTCATACTCCCAAGGCGGGAGATCAACATGTACCATATCTTCCTAACCGCGACGAGTGGAAGTTGATACAGACCTTCATTGGCTGGCTACTACAACATCTCGTGCAGAGGCATCCGCAAAGAATATCGACATTCTTGCACTAGATTGCGCACAGCATAAGACTTCCTGTGCTGTGTCTTTCAGTTGTATACTCACTCAGTTTACATCAGGGCGACAGCTATGCCAACAATATAACCCCTTAGCACAAAGGCTCTACAATCCCACCCTTCAAGACGTGGACCGACCTTCTGCAACGAATCAAATGCTTTGGCTGCATCCCGACACACCAGTCTCTAACCTACGTCTCCGTCTACGTATACGTACACACGGCGAGCCAACCCCTAAACGGAATGATATCTTCCTTCCACCCCCAACCCACCTCTCACTCCTTCTCCTTTCGCCGATACGTCCGCTTCCACTTCCTCCTCAAGCGTAATCCAGCCTCTGGTATTCAAACCCCAGAGACGAGAAACAGTACCCTGCCAGACATGAACATCGACACCCTGGACGCACCCCAAGTATAAACCCATCTACACGACATGCCATAAACACTCTGAGTCATTCAGCCAAGATAACAGATGACACACATCAGGCTACCAAGCATCCTACAAAGAAACCTGCCAACTCTACTTCCCTACAATATCTACCCCACCTATCTTCAACAACGATATACACACGGAGTCAACCCAGACTAACCATCGTACCTTATCTCATCTCCTCCCTCGACCCCAACCCCATTGTATCCAGTTCCCATATTCCACCTACATCACCCCACCCTACCTATACCCTTACCCAACACTACATCTATACCCACCATTGTAGATCCAATGGCCCATACATTATGTTCTGGCCTTCATATCATACGATGTCATCTATTCTCGAACGATACACAGCTCAACCACGAGAAAAAGAAGCGTCATTCGCTTCGGTCTAGGCACGTGATCGTCTTGAGAGGACCGTGTTGGATCGTTCCCTTTCTTTCTAGTGCAGAAGTGTGCTGTGGGGGTGTTGATGCCTGAGGCCAGGATCCTGATTGAAAGGCATTGGTTTCGGTTTCATGGGGTGGAAAATCCCGTGTGAGGGTTTGGGCGGTTTGTCACGTTTTACGAGATGAATGGTTGGTCTTGTAATTGGGTATAATGAGGTGTCGATGGACAGTGGATGTTTATTGTGTGTTCTCATCTGGAAGGTTAGATTGCCTGGGCGAGAGGGATGGTGGTCTTGGTGGTGTACTAAGACCAGGGTGGAATTACGTTTACATGGAGGGTATACTCGAAATTGATTGGATAATCTATGACAACCAAAACAAAACGGAACGAAAATCGACCAAGGTATCTCAACTGCTGAAATCCGCGCGCTCAAAGGTCCACCTGAAGACGCCATCTGGCTGACAAACAACAAACAAATCAAGCCAATTGATGGAAAGGGCAAGACTAATCAAACGTCTAAACAACAATCAATAAAACAAACAACGCCATAAGCCAATAGTGTCGTAATCATGATCAGCTGGTGTCTACAACCCCCTGAGCAAACTCCCCTCCGCGAACGGATTCTCCGGTGACATGTCTAGCATCGGTTTCGTTGCGTTGCGATCTCCGGTCGCTACTCCATGGCCCACCGGAGGTCCCTGTGGAGATGCGACCGGGATAGATCGCGCCAGAAGACTGTTAGGGATGAACGGCCCGTCTGGAGAGCGGATATTCTCCACGTCTGTGGGAGAAGTTGGTGCCGTGTGGTGGTATCGCTGCTGATTGTTGATGCTGCGGGCGGTGTTGGATCGGTTCCGAGTGCGGACTTCTGGGGCGGCCGGCTCAGGCGGCACCTGCGGTCTTCGCCAGGTTGTCGCGGACGGAATTTGAATCCCGCCTGGTGCGTCCACACTCGTGGCTGCGTCGATTAGGGGCAATCCGGGTTCGACGGCCACGCCGCGGCCTTTGCGAATGTGTTGTGGCGGTTCTTGGTAGACAGGAGTGAGATCGACGAGGGGTTTGGTTCGCATGGACTGAGTCCGTCGCATGAGATTCGGATCCGGTCCATGGGTGGAGGTCATGGTGTTGGTGCGGCTGGGGCGGCGCGAGCCCATGGTGCCGACGAGGCCTTGCTTGAGAAGTTCTTCATTCTCAAGCTTCTCTTGCTCTTCCCGTTCTTTCATGGCACGCTGGCGCATGGTGTAGGTCCGTCCAAGAAGGCCGGATGCCGAAAATGGAGCCTCATCGGACGATGAGCCCGCAGCTAGGTCGGACTCGCCGGTGAGCAGCTTGGGGAATGAGGTCGGTGGAGGCCCGCGCTCCCGCGTGCTCTTTTTGTGTGAGAAGAGTTCCTTGGTCTTCGTGGACCGGGTGCGTTCGAGGGCGGGCAATGGTTGGACCTCGTTGGCAGGTTCCTCGAACGGATTTAGCAGTGGCTTTGGTGGGCTCTTTCCAGTGGCCTCATCGGCGTGCCCTTCGGCTTCAGGCTGACCCGCCCCCAGCTTAGTAACCAGGTACCAGCTGCGCCATGTTTGGACAGCTCGGTACCACCCGTCCGCGATGTCTCGGTCGTTGGTGGAGAAAAAGTGGACAAAGTTCTCGGTTGTGAGGAACATGTTTGATTTCTGCTGGCTCTTGACCGCCTGGCAAAACTTCTTGGGTGGCTTCACATTATTCGCAAGATAGCTGGCTGTAGGAGAGTAGATGTCGAAATCAGAAAGGTGGCACGCGTTGGTCGACTCTTGAGCATTCTCCTTCTTGGAGACGGCCACTTGGCCATCTGACCGGAGGGTAACATAGCGCTTATCCCACTTGCGAGGCCGTTGCGAGTAGTACATATGGAAGGTGACATCCGCGGGTTGTCCGAGTGAAACGTTCTGCCCATCGAGCAGGGTCAACGCATCGAGACTGGCGGCAGGCACAACAATCAATGTGTTTTGCTCGTCATGAGTCCACGAATTCAGCACATCCCGTACGAATTCGTAGCGGCGCAACGGCCGCTCCAGTCCTAGTTCAGTGAAGGATTCCATCAGGATGAACTTTTCCGGGTCCACTCCCGCAGCCATCTGCGCCAACGCCGCTGACACAATGTCTTGAGCGGACGTCGACGGCGTGACACAAATTCTCAGAGACTCTTTTCTGTATTGGACGAGAACCCGGCGCTCGCGCGCATTGACTGCCGAGACAGGAGCATCAAACCCGGGGAACTGTGCTGGCACGTTGGTGTCAATTGCACTGATCAGCGGCGCATCGCCGTGCACATTTCCCCTGGGTAGCGACGGTTTGATCGCGTCACTGAGGGACTGGCGCCTCGGTTCATTGCTCGCGCGACGACTCGCGGGAGCGCTTGCGTTTGTGCGCCCTTGATATTCGGGGTCCTTCCGCGGACGACGATTCGAACGATCTTCCAACTTGTCGGCCGACCTGTCCCGTGTCGCCGACCTCGACTGACTTGCAGGCATTGAACCCTTGATTTCTCCGCCGGTCAACCGTTCCATCGCATTCTGGCGGTGTTTTTCGCGCTCAGCCTCGTCGTCCTCGTCGGTCCCCTGGGGCCGTCTCTCGCGCGACGCCAGTCGGACAGCCAGCTTGTTTCGCATTCGCACCATCTCCGCGCCCTCTGAGTCTTGGAAGTGTGGGTGAACAGGGTCGTTGCCATTATCCACCGATGCTTTATACCCCGGGGGATGCGCTGGGACAGGGGGCTGGGATTCGACCTCATGCGCAGCGGGAGCCCTGCGACGGTATCGCGACATGCTCCGCTGGATAGTACCGGAGGCATTGGGGTGGGTTGTATTGTCCCGCGACGGCGACGCGGATGCGACTGGCGGGATTGAAAGCGGCGGGAGGGGGCTGGCCTCCGGTGGCTGTTTCGCAGCGGCTTTCCTCACCGAGCGGTAACGGGAAAATTTCATGGGCGCGGGGTGCTGGCCAGCAACCACATTATCCTGCTTTTCCATAGCCATGGCTGTGCACGTTGCTGGATTTATAGATGTCTCGGTAGGGTGCCACCGATTAGAAAGGCGCATCAAATTTGCATGCGACAGTGCAAAGTGAAATTCTTCAATTGTTGGTCCCCTGCTGGCGCAGTAAAACCGGTTTTATGCTTCTTTAGCCCGTTTTTCTTTTTCCTGACGTAGCGGCCCTTTCAAAAGGTTATTGCGGGTGTGGATAAAGTATCCGGAGTAGAGATTGGAATATGGCAGCAGCGCAGAGGGCGGTCACGGAAGAAAATCACAGGACAGGCGAATTGCATGCTCGTTGGTGAGGGACAACACAAGGGAGGAATTGGATCAAATAATGGGGGGTCGCGTGTCTCCACCCCCTAAAGGTTGCAGACATGTTTCACAGGGATACGATCGTTTGGTGCACTTGAGGACCCTCAACCAGTGAAAAATCGGCCAAGGGAAAGGGGGAAGGAATGGTGAATGCAAGATTCAGGGATCTGGGCTGTAGAACACGATCACCGTCACGATGTGTGTGGGTTGTGGAGACTGGAGAGAGCAAAGGGTCCAGGTGGTTCGGTGGAGGGTTGGATGGGTTTAATTTTAACGGTGGAGGCTAGTGACCTGACCAAGACCGAGTAGGTTAGCGCTGGACTGTGCCTGAGAGAAGAATGGAGACGGCGTCGATGGACGCCTGCAGCGCACCCACCTGCTGCTGTTAGAGTTGCGGTTGTTGGAGGGATGCTGCATGCATGCAAGGGGGGTTGGGGAGGGAATGCATGAGCCAAGATTAGCTCTAGTGGAGAGGGGGAGAAGCGAAAAGAGCCAGCAATGGGAGACGGGAGTGGAAAAGCGAGACGAAAGCCAGACGAAAGCCGTGGCGGTGGGTGGCGGCCAGCAGAATTCCTCCGCCTCTAAAATGGGATCCCGCGCGGAGTCCCGTGGCTGGCAGCTGCCGCCCGAATATGACAGGCCCAATTGGAGATTTGTCGTCAATCATTCAATCATTATTGATGGAAGTGTCTATAAATATTTGACTTTGATGTTACCTCGCCGATTTCCAGGAACTCGCCACACCTCTCTACGGAGTACATCTTCGGGGATCTACATGCCACGGCCATCGACTATCCAACAGCCACACCACACCCTAGCTGAAACCAATCCCTTCCGAGATTATCATCGTCTGTTTCATTGCTGCTTTCAGGGACAAGCATTATCGCCATCTCCCTACTAAACAATCTCTGCAGGATAGACTTTTTTGCATGCCATCCTCTACAAGTTCATCCGTAGCCCTGATCTTCCCAACTTTATCCCATTTAATGCTTGTACGCGCCCAAGTGTTTCCGCCTGTGTTCGAGCGTAAGTCTTCAGTATGCGCAATCGACGATCCCAATAAGGGGCACTTACCACCACGATACAAAGTCGACCGTCCGGACATCAATCCCGAGGTCCTTCAATTCCTGGGTCGACAGGTGCGTGTCGTAGGGCCGCTGGACGCTCGCGTTCGGGTCATTCCCTTGCTTGTTCCTGACCATCCCCACCAGGGACAGTCCGAGCACGTCCGCCAGCTTCTCACAGATCTCGTACTTGGTCATCCGATCCTCTGATGAGAACTGCAGGATCTTGGGTAGCTCACGCAGGCGCTGTCGCTCCTTGACATACTTGATTACCAGGTCGCGACACACCCGTGCGACATCCTCAGTGTTAGTGGGATAGCGCTGGGCCCAATCGTCCATGGTGATCCCCGCGTTCTCATCTTGGGACCTGTACACCGCATCTACCAAAGTGTTGACGGCACTCTCGGAATTCTCCTTGGCAGTGCCGTACAGCACAGGCACCCGTAACACCACCCCTAGCCCGGACTCCTTGGTAGCCTCCAGCACGGCCACCTCACCATCCCGCTTGAACTGTCCGTAGAGGTTGGGCGGGTTCGTCGTCGCATCGGCAGCGTAGGGAGCCTCTCCCTCTTTACCGGGAAAGACGTAATCGGTCGAAATGTAGACCAGAAAGGCACCGCGGCGCGCGGTCTCTTCTGCGAGAGTGCGGGTGGCGTCGACGTTGACCCGACGCGCTTGGTCCGGGTTCTTGTCACACAGGTCGGGAAAACGGTTTGCGGCACCTAGACGGAACGGTCAGTGTCAGGTATGCAGACCGGCTGCATTTTCAAGCAGAAGGTGGCGTACAATGGATGACAATTTGAGGCCTGCATTGGCACGGTATCAGTCAGTCGTTGACAACATAGATCGAGAATAGATGAGGCCGTTGGTTGAGGATTATTACTTCGCTTCGTCCAGCAGATTCTTAATGTCCTCCTCCTTTTCCAGGTCGGCCTTCTGTATCGTCGGCGGTATGGCTCGCGAAAAGCCTTGACCGACGACCAAACAGCCGGAGTGCTTGAAGGTGTTGAAGACCTGCCGGCCTAGAAGGCCGGTGGCGCCAGTTACGAGGACAGTGGTCGACATGTTTCCAATTTGCGTCTCAGCAGAGAACATGGTGGGAGAGATGGGAGGAGGTTATGACGCGCTGAAGATATTCTGGTCAACTGCGGGGCACCTCATGACGTAACGATGGTCTTACTGGAGCTCTGGGTGGATGTTTGGGTGGATGTCTGGGCGTGTCTTTCACGGTGAGCTGATCGGGAGGAAGAACAAGCACAGCGTCATGGAGGCACCTCGATTGCAGCAGGACTTGAGGGGATTCCGATAGCGCTGCATCAATTGCGGCTTGGCGCTCGCTGGCTGCCATTGGTCGTTGCCTGTTTGGGTAACGAGACGGTACTCAACACATCGTACAGGAACCGCACTGCCATGCTTATTTGAAATTATCTGACGGTTGGATAGTGTCTGTTCATCATCAATGAGGGGAATCATTGACTGTGCGACATTCATTAAATGAACCAATATCACAGTCATATATTTCCGGCCCAACTGCACCATATTCATCCACCCGGTCACACCAATTGAAGACCAGAACATACACATACTGAACGTTGAACCAATTATAGATCACATAAAAGACTGAGAAGTAGTAATCAATAAGCACTATGACAGTCAACCTGATCTTCCATACGCCCTCTGAATCAATGCCTCATTGTGCCAAATTGAAGACCAAGGTATAGGCCGGGAGCATTGACAGTACAGTCAGAGGCAGACATAGACCCGCATTGATCAACCGAGGATGATCGCTTGATAAAGATCCGTACAAGATGAACAAAAGTACTAGAAAAGTAGAAGCTACTATGTACTAGTTATGGTCAGTGTGCACTGTAAGCCGAGCTCTCCGCCGCCGATACCGCCCTTCCGACGGGACGGAACACGACCGGAGAATCACCTCAACTCCGGTCGGTAAGCTTTTTAGATATCCGTCGGCCGTCCTCGTTGTTCACCACAACACCACACCATGTCCGGTGCCAGGAACCTCTCCGTCGCCCTGCGACGGGCTCGCATGCCCAAGCCTCGCGCATTGCTTCGTCCTCTCTCCCTCCACGTCCCCTCCCCCGCGACCACCGCCCGTGCCTTCAGCGTCACCTCCGCGGCCAATGCGACCAAGGAGATCAAGTACACCAGCAACGCCTACCCCAACCTCAAGCGTGATCCCAAGTTCGCTGAAATCTCCGCCGACGATGTGGCCTTCTTCAAGGAACTTCTGGGTGCCCAATCCGCCGTGATCGATGGCGTCACCACCGATGCCGCCGACGATATCGAGCCCTTCAACAGCGACTGGATGCGCAAGTACCGCGGTCACACGAGGCTGGTGCTGAAGCCCCAGACGAAGGAGGAAGTCAGCAAGGTGCTGCAATACTGCAATGAGAAGAAGTTGGCTGTGGTGCCGCAGGGTGGCAATACCGGGTTGGTTGGAGGCTCTGTGCCCGTGTTCGATGAGATCGTCATCAACATGTCGCGCATGAACCAGATTCGCTCGTTCGACGAGGCTTCCGGTGTGCTGGTCGTTGATGCTGGTGTTATCCTGGAGGTCGCGGATTCGTACCTGGCTGAGCGGAACCATCTGTTCCCCTTGGATCTGGGCGCTAAGGGATCCTGCCATGTTGGTGGCAATGTGGCCACCAACGCCGGTGGTCTGCGTTTGCTCCGCTATGGCAGTCTCCATGGCACCGTCCTCGGTGTGGAGGCTGTGTTGGCTGACGGAACCATTGTCGACTCCCTGTCGACCCTCCGGAAGAACAACACCGGTTACGACCTGAAGCAACTGTTCATCGGCTCCGAGGGTACGATCGGTATCATCACCGGTGTGTCCATCCTGTGCCCTCCTCGCCCCAAGGCTGTGAATGTTGCATACTTTGGTCTTGAGAGCTACGAGCAGGTCCGCAAGGCGTACGGCGAGGCCAAGGGACATCTGTCGGAGATTCTCTCCGCTTTCGAGCTCATGGATGGCCGCACCCAGAAGCTTGTCCACGAGTCCACCGGAACCAACTACCCCCTTGAAGGCGAATACCCGTTCTACTGTCTCGTCGAGACCAGCGGTTCCAACGCGGAGCACGACATGGCCAAGCTGGAGGGATTCCTGGAACACATCATGGGCGAGGGAATCGTTGCAGATGGTGTCCTGGCTCAGGACGAGACTCAGTTCCACGCCATCTGGCGCTGGAGAGAGGGCATTACTGAGGCGCTGAGCCACTTGGGTGGCACGTACAAGTACGATGTCTCGATCCCTCTGCCGGAGCTGTACCAGTTGGTCGAGGACTGCAGGGAGCGTCTGACGAAGCTTGGGTTCGTTGGTGATGACGACTCGTTCCCCGTCCGGGCTGTTGTCGGATACGGTCACATGGGTGACTCGAACCTGCACTTGAACATTGCCGTGCGGCAATACAACAAGGAGGTCGAGAAGGCCATTGAGCCTTGGGTGTATGAGTGGATTCAGAAGCGGAATGGTAGCATCAGTGCCGAGCACGGTCTCGGCCTGGCCAAGAAGGAGTTCATCGGCTACAGCCAGGATGAGACCATGGTGAAGCTGATGAAGCAGCTGAAGGGTCTTTACGATCCGGTAAGTACATTCTCGAATCGATCGAACAGATTGCTGACTGGCTTCAGAACGGAATCCTGAACCCGTACAAGTACATCTAGAAAGTACATCTAGAATGCAAAATTTGCAGATTCCACTTAGATTGCACAGGGCACAATCCATGACCGGCTATCAAAGTGCTAAAATTGTAGAATTAGCAACGTTTCCTTCCAAAATACTATTCCTTTGAAACACCCACTATCTGATCTGTCTGATTGAAGCCACCATTTTCTTGCCGTATAGGATATTAAGAGTAGAATAGCGTCTCATATATCCAACTACCTCCCAAACACTCAATATCCCTCACCATCTCCACCCCTCCATGTCCGGAGGTATCACTAGTTTTAGAACGCGTCGATACGACCGGGGCGGAACCACCAACCTCCAAAGGACCCATTCATAGTCCATCCACTCATGATCGGGATCGATTTGGCAGCTTCCACGAAATTGTAGAGATCACTTCTGCTGTTAGCCTGGTACCCTCTTACACCAATCTCGACTTACATTCGATTCGTATCACCATCCCAAAACAACCTCGTCAGCCATCCATACGGCCGAAACCCAGCCCGACAACAACGTCTACAACCCGTCAGCAAAATCCCAGCTCCCCGAGCAAACACCAAAAAGATAAAGACAAAGCTTACGTCCAAGCAGACTCAAACGCCTCCCGAACCCTATCCCGCTCCTCGCGCTCCAGATCCCAAAACCACGGCCCTAATTGCTTCCCTGGTAATTTCTCCAGAAAAAGATACAGATCGGTCCACCGGGAACGAGGTCTGTATCGGCTTGTCTGGCCGTCTTTACGTTCAGAAACCCGGGGCGTAAAGTCGCTGCCTAGCTCAGTTAGGTTGGTATAGGCATGTAGCATCTCCTGGCCAGCTGTGGGACGTTGGTCGCGGGCCTGGCGAGCTCTTTCTGCGTGGATGGCTATTTCGGATCCTGCGTATGGGACCCTATCAAATATTTTGGTCAGTTTCAGTAATATAGGCAAGAGCGTCTAGACATACTGCATGAGGATTCTCATGATCTTCTTGTCCTTGGATGACGCATCCTGGCATAGGAACGTTCCATAGGCACCTCCGGGCTTATCGGGCCAGCGTAGAAACATTCCAGGATCGCTTTGGTCATTAAATTCGCGTAGCTTCTTGACCAGTACCCATTCAGAGTCTGGGTCAGAGAAGGAGATGACTCGTCCGATGAAGCTGTCGTTGAAGAGTTCTTTGTCTTCCATGGTCTGACTCCGGTGTGGTATTAGAGGGGACGGTTGATGTGAGAGGGAAGTGAGGTGGGGAGGAGGAATAAACTCCTGCAGGAATTATTGGTTACTTCAACTCTAACGTGACGGATACAGTGTTTACATCGATATACATCAAACAAGGCTCACACCTGACAGAGTGTTGAGATATCATCATCATACTTCATCTTCCACTCCCAAAATTCCATCAATCTAGCTATCAAACCCAGTCGAATGCGCAATTTCCTTCATCTTTGTCAGATTCGCCTGCAACGTATCAATCTTCGTCTGGAAACGATTATAACAATCCTGGCCCAGCGGCACACGAAGGAACCCCTCCGTTCCAGCCCCCAATCCCCTCGATGTCACCACCTCCAGAATCCGTTGAGCTGCTTTGACGGGATCTCCCTCCTGCGACCCATCCTTCGCCTTAATCGCCTTCAAAGCAGCCTCCACCGGCGTGCCAACATAATCCTCCGTCAACCCGGCCGCGGGGGCAACAAACGCCGCAAAGAACTTGGTCCGGAAATACCCAGGCTCGACCAAGATGACTCGGATGCCAAACGGTTGGAGCTCTTTCGATAGACTTTCCGACATACCTAATCACCCGGTTGTTAGCATTCCCCTGAGCAGAACTCGGATAAAGTAGAGATAGAGATCCTCACCTTCCACCGCAAACTTCGACCCCGCATACATAGCACAAGACGGCGCCCCATCCACCCCCGCACTACTACTGATATTCACCACCGTGCCGGATCTCTGCGCGCGCATAAACGGCAGTATTCCTTTCAATATCCTCACCGGTCCATAAACATTTGTGCTGAATTGCGTCTCGATCTCATTCTCACTCATGTCCTCGATACTGCCGAGGAGCGAGTACCCCGCATTATTGACGACCACGTCGATGGTCCCACCCGCTGTGGTTATCGCATCTGTGACATGTTTTGCTGTATCGGGGCTCGTCACGTCCAGCGAGATCCAAATGCCTCCTAGTTCTTCGATTTGGGGATTCTCTTGCGCGGCTTTGGTGGGATTGCGAGCTGTCGCGAGGACTTTGTGCCCCGCGCGGAGAGCGGCGAGGGCGAGGGCGGTGCCGAGGCCGGAGGAGGCACCGGTGATGAGCCACGTTTGGGTCATGTTAGCGATGAAGTCGGTTGTGAGTGACAGTCAGGTGCTGATTTGGAGATTATAGCAGGGTATCGCAGCGATTCTTAAATGTAATACAAGCTGATCCTCCGGGTTTTGAGCGCTTAATTCCTTGGGATCCGGTGGACTAGTACCGGACTTTGCGGGGTTATGTGCAACCCAACTCCGTGTCTAGCTGAGCATCCATACTCGAGATTGGGGTGGAAGGGGGTAGTAGAATATATAGTATCTCAGTTGCTCAAGGGGAAGTATTACGTGAGCCCGTGGTCAAGAATGTCATGATCTGATAAACAAAGTTTCATGTTGGTCTGTAATAATATATTGTGCAAGGATATAATACGACCACATATAGGCGCACAGTCACCAGTTGTCACCAGTGTTGTTCCGATGCCAAAGATCATCTTTGACGTTCAAGTTATTTTCTAGGGCATTCACATATGTCCAAAGTTGAATAATTGACCATTGTACAGATCGGTTATCATCGACACTAGGTAGGGTGAATAGGTAGATGGTTATAGTGAGAGAAGATATACCGGTAGTCACTATACCATTCATTATTCCAGAAATGATTTCACTCCAAACATCTCGTCTTGCCCTATTTAATCCCCTTCGCCTTCCGTCGTTGCCAGCTTCTCCTTCTGACATCATATCTAGAACATACTGGTCTATGATATCATCCATATACAAGTCATTCTAATAGACAAATTCTCAGGATCAATAGCTTCGAGACAGCCATATTCATCTTGTCGAGCAAGTATATACTCAAGCTATACTAATGCTACCCAACCCCTTCAGCAATACAATATGGCGAGAGACAGCGAGGAACGGACCTACAGAACCAGCTTCAAGTATCGATACTCATCACAAGCATCCGCTATTACGGCGGATGATATCGAAGTGTATAAGCCCGATGATGACACATGCTGAGTAGCAAAACAATCATCTAACGATAGCAGAAAGGACATACCGGAAGCGTTCAAAAACTGCTTTACATTTGGTATTGCAGTGGGCAAATGATTCCATATAGCTATCTACTATGCTCTGTTCGAAAAACTTGTCTTGATGGCCACTCGCACAGAAAAGTCATGAAAACATTGATATACCGCCAAATGGACTGCAATATAAAAGAACCTATTCAATTCTGCCAATGAATGCATACAGCAGAATTCAGATGATTACAGTACAAAGGGTCTTCAAAGTTCAAAAGCCACACCCACAATGCTTAGGATTTTGTGCGTGGTCTACCATACAATGGCAAACCAAGTTACGCTCGATGCTGTCGATGTTCTTGCCCCAGTTATCCGCGCAGATATGAGGCCGACTTTAATAACCCAGAGACAGATGCATAGATACTCGTCCCTTACATAGTCGGGATGAGCCTGTCATGTCTATCACTGCCTCATCCTCGAACTACCCCGGAAGGGTGTGATCTTTTTCTAGGATATCAATCACCGATATCGCACCAGCCCGACATGCCCAGACCATGTGTACGCCAGTCCACAACAGAACACAACCTGATGGCTCGAGTGTAACTGCTCGAACAGCCATTCCTCGGTTCGCAGCCGGGCTAAGCATGAACCGACAGGGTACACGCAGTGAAGCCACACGAGTATCATCTCTCCAGTCCATGGCGGACATAACCGCTACGTCCTGATCCGGAGACGCATGACCTACGGCCAACCCTCGAGATAAACCCTCACCCTCCTCTTATATTGATGCTAACTTCAGCATATGAGTTCATCTTCCTCGCTTGATTTAGACTTTTGACCTGCTCTATATCCTATATTCGTCTTTATTCCAACTCCAGGCATTTGCGCGCATTATATTCAATAGCATGTCCGTGCGCGACCTCGTACCATACGGCGTGCTACAGTTTGGTCAGTATCGGCCAGAGATCAAGAAGAGCGATGGAGCTGATACTCCCAGTCCCGAGCATTTTCCTTATATATTTCGAATGTGGCTCGTCAGTTTCCGCATCCTGGCGCTGACGCGTCCCATTCGGAGCTCCGTCGTCACGATAAACAGACACTTCTTTGTTTGCTGCCGGGGGATGCGGGCTATACAACTTGGGTAGCAGCGATGACTGTCCTTTTCCGCGATGTAATAGATGTGGTCCGTGAACATTTCCCTGATGTTCTGGCGGTCTTTGAAAATGATTCAGACGATAGTTCAGATGACGAGGAGGATATGATAATAGTCCTGGAAGCTTGGGCTTTTCATGACAGCTTTCCCATTCATATTCCTATGATTTGATGGGTGTTTAGATGTCTGGTCTTTTTTCGAAGTTTGTGAACATAACTTTAGATATTCGGGCGTGGATTGTTGGGACGTAGCCTACTATCTGTAGTAGGTTTTGTATTTTTTATGCGATTTGGGCTAGATTCCTTGTGAATAATTATGATATCAACGAGGAAATGATAAGATGATTTTATAGGTCTGGTGTTTGGATTGATGAGTTAGATGTGTAATATTTTTAAGGCTTTATCATTTTGATGGCGTTTTGTTGTCTGTCTTGGCCCTTTCTGTTTTTTCTAGTAATCGTGAATAACTTGGGGTGTATTATCCATATTTTCTTTAGAGATTTATTAATTATACTCGCTAGGCCATTCCTTCTATTTGATTAAATAGTAGTCTTGGCTATCGTATTGTTGGTAGTTCTTGACTTCTTTGATTTTCTATTCTTCCTCGTCATCTAGCTCCGGTATTAGTAATATTTCTTCATGGTCTGCATTATTCTACAGCTCTAACAATAAGATATGAAATATATTATGGATTCGTCCGTATTTCTCAGGTAAGTAGAGGTGGTATACTTGTAATCCGATCCGTTTTAGAACTTAAAAAGGTTCTATAAACTTCGGGGCTAGCTTTCTCGATCCCTTGAACCGTAGATTCTGGGTCGATAACTTGACTAAGTCTCTTTCTTTAAAGTAGAATGGCTTTCTGCGCTTGTCATAGTGTTCCTTTTGCTTTTCTATAGCCGCTTGCCAGGTTTTTTGGAGTTGTTCTCTTGCCTGCCTGAGTTTTTCGATTCTATCCTGTACAGCTATTTTGAAGCTGAGTTAATCATCGTCATCGTAACCAAGTACGGTCTGGTTTGCTGTCTGTACCTTACTTTCGTCCTATTGTCGGATCTTTTAGTCTGTTATACATATTCGACTGATCACAGAGGCGGGCTTCCGAACACTGAAGCCCGGAAAGTCCAGCCTACGCTCAGATTTGAAGGCTCGGACTAGTCACAGCCCAAAAAGGAAATTGGCGCTTGTCATTGTGGCGCACTGGAAAGCATTCACCAGGAATGGACTGGGTCCATCTTCATAAATAGGGGATGCATGCAATGTGGAGGGATCCTCGAGAGGTCGCAGTGGCCATTCATTTCGGGTGGGTTTGGAGAAGGGTGTAAGAGTGGTCTTTTTGGAATAATTCCTGCGGCAAGTGTGATTATATGGAGGGTGGGCAATCACATCAGGGTATTAAACCGAAGGGACCGCTGTCTCTGTTAGGGCTACATGGTACGGATCAGCAACAGTTGAAGGACCACATGTGTTAGTTTAACACCTAGCGGATGCCGAGCGAATGGGGTCACAATCATTTGGGGTTTTCTGTATGCCAACATGATCTGAGATACTTCAGTCAAAGAAAATTCCTTTTTGAAGCGTGATTCCTGTGACCACTCAAAGGATGAATCTTCAGCCAAGCAAGATACATGGTATTCACTGACACAACAGAATCCTACGAAATACCCTTCTTGACAGAACCAACTGAACACTAGCAATCTGAACTTCGAATATAAATCAAGACTAAAATATGATCTGGGTATTCGAGAATACCCTTTCCGATACTGCGACCCCCGCTCAGTGAAATCCACGGCAATGGCGTGGTATCTGGCAGCTCAAATATGAGAATATTTATCCCTCTAGAATTCAGGCAATTAGCGAACAGCTAGAAAAGAGCGGGGGAGAGGTGATCCCATGAACATAATCCATGGTTGCCGCCCTAATTTTTTGACTCTGTTCCTTGACCAGGAAGCTGGGAGCAAAGGACCAGAGCAATGCTGAAATATCGTATAGGAAACACCGGATGAATTGGGCGGCGGACATTGAGTTGAAGAAGGAAGAAGAGGGAGGATTGGATAGAATGGCGATGGAAAAGGATTGGCGTTGATAAGATCGTCCGTGGCTCTAGGAGGTCGTCGGTATAACCACAATTTACCACCATGCCAGGGCAGAAGCGAAAAAGGTCAAGCAACGACTCGGAGACAGTTCAAGGCGCCGATTGTTCTATTTACTGTATCCTGGATTGAGTCATTTTACTATACTCCCCTCGCTGTCATCCAGCGGATCAATACTCTGTCGCACGCCAGAAGCCACGTGGTTAACCTTCTGCAGGCAAATTTGGATCGGTTCTGATCGGGAATATGATTATCCAGTCTAGACCCATTGGAGGGTTTTCGAGAACGATATCTACCAGCCATGTCTGTATATGAAGCTTGCATGAAGTGCTTACCACATAATTGATTGGGAGACTATATCAGGTACAATACGCCGAACATGGAGCATACTATTCATATAATTAGCGACAATCCCAAGTAAAGATGATTACTCCTAGATACTATCTATAATTTCTCTTAAGAAAATTAGCAAGACAGACTAGCAAGGTTCTTATTGCTGCGATGTCAAAGGATTGGGGTTCTGTCGATCCCATCAACCCCGGGACTTCGTGATGGTGGGTCCTACCTCCGATCCAACCTATCTGTGTGTTGGAAAAAAGTCTGTTGGCTCTAATTCTATCGAGGATAAGATTGACGTCGCTGGAAAGGCTGACAGTGACACCGACCAATGGCCAATGGGACACTTCGAGTCACCAATCCGAGAACAAAGAAAGGAGGGTTGATTCGACGTAAGCCCAACGCAACACGAGGGAATGAACATAGAAGAAGAAGTATAATGCCTCTAGTAGCTAGAACTGCACAATGGATCTCTCAAAACCCTTCTCGTTCTATTGCCTTGACATCCATCCAGACTGCACAGCACTCCACTAGTAAACTATGACAAGCCGATTTCAAGTCAAGTTCGCCCTCGGTGCCGTCGGCCTGCTAGGGTTGCTGGGGACATATGGCCGGGGAGCCCTGGATGGCTCAACCGACCTCCTCTTCCGGGCCGTGGATAGAGACACGCCCTATGTCTTCCCCGGAACACTGTTCACTCTGCGCCAGACCTTTACGGGAATCTGGTTCCCTATCGACTACCTCCTGAACGTGTTGGTCGTGTTCTGGTTCGAGGCCGTGGATGGATCCCATCCATCGGCTGCAGCCATTAGTCTTTATTTCCTGGGCCAGCTACTTCCCTGTCTGGTTCTGATTTATTCGACCTCGGTGCGCGGGGATCGGCCTAGTCTTTTCAAGTATGATTCACTCTACCTACTCTGTATATTGAAACTAACATGAGTCAGGCCGACCCTCTGGCTTCTGCTCTTCCAGCTCTGTACATTCGGAGCCACTGGTGTCTTTTGTGCCCTGCCATACCTCATCCGATCGCCAACCACTCAGCTTGATGTCCCCCTTTATATTTTGCAGCAAGCCTCGATTATTGCAGCACCCGATCTGGGATGGATGATTCTACCCGCTATCCTCCTCGGGTACTTTATTCCTGGGGTTATCATGGCCCTTCCCTCCTCTCTGGTCGGGAATCCCTTTCAGCAATATGCCATCGCCATCTGGAATCTGTACCCGCTCCTGGTCTTCGCATGGTTTTATCTTTTGCGCCTCGCTCGGGAACGGGTTTCTGGGCACGTTCGAGGTATTCCAAGTGAAACACCGTCAACGGCAAAGCCAAAAACAACACCAGCCCCCACAGAAGCGATCATCACAAATCACCTCCGAGCAGTTCGAGTGACCAACACCCTAGCCCTCATCATTGGCTCTGTCATCCACCTATTCATCCTAGGCGTCTCGCTAGCAACTGTTCTTTTTCCGTCCATCTTCCAACCAATCTATGTGGCGGAGCTAAGCCCCTCGACATTATTCTTCCCTCCGGTGAGCATGCCACCCAAGGCTGTCGTTCCTGGTGATGGCGTGGCGAGTTTGTTGCTGTGGGATCAGTTTGCGGGTTATTTGCTTGTCATGATTGTGACTATAGTCGAGGTGCAGCGTGCGCTGATGTCAGTCAAGGCTTCTCAATCTCTGTGGAGTGTTGTGGTGATGGCTGTGGTGGCTACCCTGCTCCTGGGACCGGGTAGTGCGTGTTTGCTGGGTAGTTGGGTTCGAGACGAGGTGTTGTTTGGGGGGTGGATCCAGGACAGTAAGAGGGATACAAAGTCGAGCACGGCTGTTGAAAAGAAGCATAAGAGTTGATGTATACTGGATGGCCTGTGAACGAGAAGATCAATGACACGGAAAAGAACGCGAGGGGGCCATAATCATGTAGCAACATAGTATATATCCCCTTCAGAATCATCAACACATACCTAACACTCTACTTCAACCCAACGACCCACCCACCCAGCAATACCAAACCGGCAACGCATACAAAACCACCTGCCAGACACACCACCACCTCCACGCGTACGCATCCCCAGTCCGCCTCAAAACACAACATCCTACCCAGCCCGCCAACCCAACCGGAACCATGACCACCCAGCCCGACAACCCCCAAAAGGCAGTACACGCCACGCTCCAAAACACCATCCAACCCGCGATCCACCATCTCGACACGCGATCACCCAGAACAAGAGGCCACGTCTTCCGACCCCGCGCTCGATCTCCCGTCTGATCTTTCAAATCCTGGATCTGCATCGTCGTCACAATCACACCAGCGATCATCCCTAGCCATTTATACCCCGTGGGGGAGAGATCAGCGGTTGGATCACCGATGGCAATGCGTACCGAACTCGCGAGGAAGATGCTATACGCCACCGCGATGATCGGATCCCGGGCCAGTTCATCCCCGCCCCGGAGGTCATTATATATACAGCAGAGGAGCCCGATAGTGATACTTTCATTGCGGACCCCCAAGATCCAGCTGATCGCAATGGTCGTGGGGATTGTGCCGAGGAGGAGATGCTGCGCTTGTCGGGGGGTGATTCGGGCGCGAGGGAGCGGGCGCCAGGGCTTGTTTAGATGGTCTTCGCGGATGGATTCGGCGAGGCGTTGGTTGGCGAGATCGAAGACTAGGAGGTTGGTCCAGTTGAAGAGGGAGGATGCGTGGGGTGCTGTGGAGCAGGAGGGAGAGGGGATTAGGGCTGTGCGGGTGGTTTGTTAGGATGGGGGCGGCGAGAGCGGCGAGTAAACCGAAGGCCGTGTTGGGGAGTACGAATGTCGTGAAGTTGCTCTCGGTGAAGTGCCAGATTAGGGCTGGTAGGTCTGTTAGTCGGAGGGGGGGAGGCTGCATGGTTGCATGGTAGGGTTTTGTTGAGTGTTGGTAGTATCCGTACCATGTGTGGTGTGGGTGGTGATCAAATCACTTATATCGGTTGCGGTTCGCGCTATAGGAGTCTATCCCGGAAGAATGTACGGCGGGCAATAGCGGCCATCCTGTAAATGAAATTTCTTGGTGTTTACTGCTGGCAGAATTAATATAAAGCCTAATTAGATCACTTAATTATACCTATGATTTATTTAGTTTTACTATTTAAATAGTTACTAGTCTTAAATATCATGTAGAGGTGCAAGTCTTGCTTAGATATTATATATAGGACTTATATAACTAGATTTAGCTAAATTATAGGAATCTCAGCCTTAAAAAAAATATTATATATATTTATAGGATAATAAGATTATTCTTATTTTTAATCTCTTTTATAAGGATTAGCTAGTTTCTATTATATCTTTCTTCTTTATCTAGAAAGGTAGAATTATATATAGTTTTATCTATTAGTGTGCGGAACATTAATAATGGTTTTCCATTCGCTTTCGCACTGTTGGTTTCTAGTTGCCGCCCGGACACCTCGGCCGAACGAATCATAGGGCGCGACCATCGTGGTAGATCCCTGCGTTTTTGATAGCCGCCCACCCCACTGTTCACTGTCAATCCTCGGACCATACGCTTTAATCGGTGTAATGTCTACAGGGCTGATCACCGCAGAACCACCACGTTCTATGCCACAGGAATATTACAATACTATCTGGCGAGGGAGCAGTCGAGCCACTGGCTGTCTTGTGACGCTGGGTCCGAATCCTAGTGCCTGTCGTCATTTCTGAGGTCGTAGACAACAAAAAAACCCGCCGCTAACGAATGTAGAGTGGAGTTTACTATGCTCTACTTTCTTATACATAGACCATTTCAAGTATCGTGATCTATAACTAGATCTGTACTATGTGGTCGGCAAGGTGGTGGGTAGGCAGGGACGCAAATTCCAGCTTCGAAATAGGCACTTTCAGATCTACTTTTCACAGTCCTACCTCACCGGGGCATGACCGTGGAATGGCGCTAGAGGGGCTGCGGGCATCGGTGAGTGCTTTTCGCTTTGGCCATCAGCAACCAATCGCCATACCCAACGGTACATATATAATATTCAAATCATGTGCTTAATAGAGTGAGCTATCGACTACCTAGGCGCATCCAATCCGCTCGAGTGGTGGGGCAACAACGCTTGTTGACTATTTTATTTGCTGGCGTTATTCGTACCGCGTATTTGTGCCTCCGGAGTGCTCTATACTGCAAACATCAAAGACAATACTAGATCCCCTCTTTATCCACCAGCAACCCGGAGGCAGGGCGCTCCATCTCTCCTCTTCCTCGATCACCGAGCGGTTCCATTAATTCCTTTTCTGTGCTTGAAGTAAGCTAATGAACGTCTATGTATAAATGTTGACGCAGATCTTACCGTCATACTCCCTTGTAGTGAACAGAGTCTCAGAGGACTCCATGTTTTCGCAGGGGCTCTCGTATACCGCCGTGGAGTTAATGCCCACCTCCTGCAACAATCAGATCTGTGCACAGAGTCCTAAATAGGCAACTCACTTCACGAGAATATCGTGGGAAAGTAGACTGAAGGGTCCGTATCTCCCCGTGATGAGAGCGAACGACAGTAATATGCACCACCACAAGGCCCAGCCTTCTAGCTGTCTTAGATAGAAGTTTTAGCATGACGTAAGAAGGTGGCCGCAGTTTGGATAACGCGTCGCTCAGAGAGACCGGCCTATATCAGACTGATATTTGCGTGATAATTCTACCAGAGGGGTTGGGAAGCCACAGTGAAATATGGAACACCTGTTTCTATAGCGCTACATGACAATATTATGGTTCGCAAAAGGTTCAGCATAATTAACTGTGTCACGTATGCTCTAAGGACTTCTGACCAATTTAAAAAGGTGACTCGAACTGTTGAACAGAGGAAAAGACAAGCGCGTCGAATATATGAAATCAGTAACCACGAGTGAGTCAAGTTGGGACTTGTAAAAGCATTATTGTGTCAAAAGGACGGGGTCTTCTCTGTGTTCGGAAGCCGTAAACGTTTTCTCCGTATGGCCAAGAGAAGATCTCTAGCTGAGAACATATGAATCGTGGGTAACTATTATAGGCATTATATTTTTAGATCCCCTGCAATTCATGAGAGAGTTAGTTGAAAAGGACAGCAGAGTCTATTTTATACATCATGTCTCGCGCAGGTAGCCTGGGGCGAATAGATAGGTTGAAAATGCGGACACATGCAAACACTGAAATAGGTTCACGTTTTCACCGCATGACACAGTATGTATCCGGTTAGTGTAAACATCATTGGATTACTGATGTGGACAATACTCTGGAATTACGCTGGCACTGACTCCACGGCACATCGTTGGGACAGAGATTCACTAGAGCCAAGTTCCATTGGTAGGAGGACACGTGCTCGTTCACCATCTTTGAAAGCATAGTATATGCTGAACCCGCCGTTGATACGCGCAGGATGAGTTTCCCACTCTAAAAGAGTGCAGACACTGGACCGTTCTCTTGGAATCGATACTCTACGGACCTCGCCCGTTGATCGGATGTCATAACCCCCATTGGAAAAAGGATACTTGTCTTCGACGATATAATAGGATGGTAGGAGCAGAAGTACGCAAGTATGTTGGCTAGATCTAGAGCTTCCATTTTATGACTTTGATTTTAATAGGTATTTAGATCTCTCTGACTAGTGTACCCACCCATCCGACTCGGACCCAAACTGTGGATGTTAGTTAGGGAAGCTAGTCTCCCACACAGCAAAATCCCCATGACACAAACATCAGTAGCCAACCAATTTAGTATTTCTCCGATACTGTCCCTGGTGCTGCAGAAGGTACCGAAAGTGAAGAGATTAGTGTCCAAACACTAGATCCGGCAGTTCCCAACCTACTAGAGAGCAGTACTATAGTCAAGTCGCTCCAAACCTTAGTTGCAGACATTGAGCAAACCAAAAGCCAAATATCAATACCCTTATTGACGGACGGCTAACAGGGAGAAACGCCGAGCCTTGAAAATGATATATCCTGAGTGATGACGAGGCAATCCATCGATAGTATAGATGGAGATAGCGGCGTTACAGTAATGAGACCACCACAGATCCTTTAAGGAGTTTCGACGGCTGGCATGGTGGGGCTCTCAGGAAGCTTAGATGTCTATACCGTCATAACCGAATATCCGAGCCTTGTAAATCCAGATTCCATGGTTACCCTCCTTAAAAGCACTACGGGTGACTCGGGAACACGTTTGACGTCTGGAAGCATCTTGGATTAAGCTGGCATTATCTTCCCCAGTTCAATGAGTTCACTACTACAGGAGGTATCCACCATGGGTGGAATCACTTCTGTAGCAGGTGATAAGACCTTTAGTATTGGTGTTTCGGACCGTCTACCTTCCACAACGTTCAATATTCTGAAAGGGCTAATCCATATAAGCATGTTGGGTCCACCGCAATGGCTAGGAGTAGGCAGTCCCCAGATCACCTCACCGAACCCTACGCCTGCAAGCCGTGCATACTCCCAGGTAAATGTAATCCAGGAAGCCCCCGATTGGTCGATACCGTTTATCCATCCTTCCACGGCAGTTGGTTCAGTGTTGCTGTCTGGTAGGGTGACTGCGTACGACATGACCGCGCAGGATGCTGAGAACAAGGCGGGTGGCGGTGCCTTACCTAGCCTTATAGATGTATCTCCGTCAGAGACAGAGCTGGGATATGCGTCTCCGCACAGGCCAGTCCCACTAGCTATAGGCGGGGTGGTTGGGCCAGGGACCACAGGGTCAGAGGATTTGCCTGGGAGTGGAGGGCCCTTGGCGAATGCTGGCTACACGGACCCTGTATATGACGCAAGCGTGCCGCATGACATGAAGAAAGGGACAATTTCTCTCTCGACGAGTATTATCCTTCCTACTTCATGTATATTTGTATTTATCTTTGAGTATGTACGCCGTTGAAATTTTCGCAAATGGGCTAGGCTCCGCGCACATCAGCTCCGGCTTGACCTAACTAAGTCATATTTCTCCCTGGACACTTCGCGATAATCAATATTGTCTTTGAGGCGGCCGTTTTCTGCAAGCTTGATAGAGGACGGGTTATCTAGATGGAACCAATATTTTGAGAGACTGTGTAACTTTGATTTCTATGATTACCATCCTTGCCAAGCTAATGGTTTTCTTGAGGCTTTTCTTTGTTCAACTAGAGACAAGCCCTCGAGTAGATCCTTTGCCCGCTAAGTAACTTGTCCCTTGGACGACTTCTCATTTAATGCGACAAATAAGTAAGTCATGAGATGGGATATTGACATGTCCGCGTCTAGTTACAGTAGAATTCTGTTCTAGAAATAAAGACTCTCTGGAACTTTTACTCCCCTCCATACTTGGCAGCATCGACGGATATGAGAGGCATGTTGTGGAGAGATATTGCTCGGTCTAGTCTGTATGTAAATTAGAAGAATATAGTTGTCGCATGTGATTCTACAGCTCTGCCGTCATCCTTCGCGCTCGTGTGATAGTTACTTCCAACGCCCAATCATGCTGGTAATCCTAAAGGCGAGCCTTGATATAATCGCGAATAGTTAAAAGGTTTCCACCAAGTGTGGGACCAGGATCCCCAAGGCATTGTGAAAGAAAAGTACTTGTGGACCCGGGCATGTAATACACGAGCTCATGAGCAAGAACCCTGGAAACCCGCACTACTTCCTTGTCGGAGTAGCTGTATGTTGGGTACCACCATAGACTGTATTTAAATTTTAGGAGCTCCTCCGTCCCCAAGCCACATACCTCTTGGCGACTATCGGGGCGTTGAATCGGAGGCTTTGGGGACAGAAATATAAATATTCCAAGACATAAAGTAAATAACTGGAAGTCACAAGTTTATAATGCATAGATGCATTGACTCCGCAGGTGGTCAATGGATGAAGGCTGGGAGAGTCTGCCAACTTCACTCATAGACTTTAAATAGTTTGATATGCCGTTGATCCAGGCGTGTTTCTGTGCGGGATGTTGGGTCTGGTTTAGAAATAGCCTATGTAGAACTGTTAGGATGGCACCGTTTGCTCACTCCTTCACAACTTACCGAAGTATGCATAACTGAGTCCGTGTAGGGAAATACGAATTTTCCCTGCTAGAGTCTTCTATCTTCCTGTATCTGTGATGTACAGCGACATGTCTGGTAATGTTATGGTGCATTTAATATTTCTTCTGGCCGATCAACAGGCGGCAGCAGGATACTTATAGTATTGGTAGTGTTCTTGACGCCTTCAGTCTACTGTCGGGACCACCTAATATTGGAACGACTCTTGTGTAGCATGTTGAAATCTGCTAGTTTATTGGATAGAAGTAAGTAGCAGTAAAGAGTTATTCGTTAACTGATTGGTTCAAGGACCTTGCATGTGAAGAAAGACCTAGCTATTCTACGGACTAGGCAGGTTTCTAGGCCCTCCATTCAGGACAGATGATTTTGTTATTGCAGTGGTTCTGATGTAAGTCTTCCTTCCAGTCTATCTAAGGATTCAGGCACAATCTCCAATGTGTAATATTTAAAGAGGCTCGGTTCAGGCAATGGGAGTGGTAGGCTTCAGGTAGGTTGCTGAAATGTTACGATTCTAAGAATTGCATGTTCAGTAAAGCTCTATAGTGGACTTCTGTCATCCTTGCTCAACCTGAAACTTCACTGTTTAGTCCCTGTAGCACGCGATCATAGATCATACTGAAAACGGCTAGCCAATATCGCCTATTTCTTGGTATATAGGATGTATCAATGTACAACTACCATGCTATATGATAAGAGGCCTCGATAATGGTACACAGATACATGTATGCACATCAAGTCTACGCTCTTTGTTTAAAAGATACCACCTAGATGTTTGTGTCCTCTTCCAGCCAGAATTCAGCGGCTATACTATAGAGCTACCTCAGTAAATACACCATGCGCGTCTGTGGCTTGTACTTCTTGTTAGTAAAACTAAAGAAAAATAGAACTTCAATGTGATATATAGCAAGAGTTCACGATGAGTAAGTATAGAGGGACGCCCTGGAGATTAGAGGCACCTTTCCCTTCCTTGTAACTCGCATTCGTTTATTATGTATGTGAAGGGGTTGCCGTTATCAGAGAAAAGAGAAAATAACCACTTGATCAATTTTAAGTGCGGCGTTGGTTATGTCGCTGTATGTATACCTACCAGGATAAAAGGGGGACTGTATTTGTCCCAGATACCACGTCTGAAAATTAAATAGTCTCTCCGTTACTATATATTAAGAAAGGTTTTGCTGCTAGCTTGTTCAATAGCCGGTAGATAAAGTAAAATACTTTTTATCCATCACAGTAGGACCGCCCGAATACGTTTTGACTATACTAATTAGAACTGTTGACAGCTATAATAGCCTCAAGGAACTCTTCTTCCGAATCGGATGTACCCGTGAGCTATATTATTAGCATTTCTCGTCTACCTTTATCTCTAATATACCGGTATGTACCAAGATGTTTAAATACCCTCTCGATACGTTGATCAGCGTTGTTAAGACATTGCGCGTCACTATCGACCATGACCTTCTTTGCATCTTGCTCCCTTTTCTCCAATGCTGCACATTTGGCCTGGATTTCCTGCAGCTCTGCTAGATAACTTCCCTCAAGGAGGTCTTTATTGTGCCTCAATTCTTCAATTACCAAATTCAACTCCCTGCGAATATGGGAGACCATCTCTGAACGGGGAGTGTCGTTCAACGCTTCAAGAAAGGATTGTGCGTTTTCGGCCAGGCGCTGGACCCCCCGAGCCGTCTTTCGAAGTTGGTGGACAGCGGAGTGTCTTAGTTCACAGAGGAGTTCGAATCCTTCGTTCGGCGTCTTGATCTGCTCACCGGCATGCTGACGTAACAGTTTAACCCACTCAGTGAGTTCGGCAGCCTCGGGGCAGTCCCAACCTTTTTTTTACCAGCAGTTGAGGAAGTTTCTCCTGAGTGTAGGCGAAACAAGCTTCTTCCACCACTTTTTGAATGTTGGTTGTGCGGAGGTGTTGGCTTCGGTATTTTATATACACTGGATATAACGACGGGGTCGACTTGCGCGGGGTTTCATGGGCTAATGACAGGTGTCAATGCTTTCCTCAAAGGCCAACAATCGAAGTACCAACCGTCGGATTCCTTGGTTACCTCCGCGGCCAGCTGCGCTTGAGAATTCGGCCTGTAATCTTTTGGGATTTCCCTCTCTGAGATCTCTTTTACTGCGTTTGCTTCGTCTCGTGCTGCCTCCGCTTCTGAAGCTTCTCGGTCGGCGCTCTGGGCAGGAGACACGTCAAACAACTCTGGAAATCGAATCTTCGCTCTTACGGAAGACTGAAAAACCTGGTCTCTAAGGAGCCTCTGGACAACGTTACACGTGCGGTCGATATTATATTCCCGCAGAATATCTGTAAGGCCAGGTTGATTGCGGTGAATCAAGTTCATCACCTGCTTTCGCTTTCGAACTGACGAGTTAGAGCCCTGAAAGATATGCCGGCAGGTCAGGTAGACAAGTCTCTCATCAAGGTCATTCTGGGCCATGTTGATCGTCTGAAAGTGGGGTTCGAATTGAGTCCATTGAACGTCAGTTATATACCTCGGAGGGTGGTCAGCTTCCGCCAACGGCCTTGACGAGCTATGCGATCGGGCATGGAGTAGCACCGAGGACTCATAGGATCTGGTTGTATTCCGCTTTCATACTCGCCTCCGCCTTCATCATCTTTCATTTTCTTTTCTGTCTCCTTCTCGTACTTCTTTGTTTCATTTTAGCATCTTGCAGAGTCTTGACACTAATTTCGGCGATTGGTCACCAATGTAGAACAAAACCCGGTCACCAATGCCACCAGAACTGACAGTATTCAGTTATGTATCAACAGCGGACAGCATTGCTCGACCACAATGCCGCAAGGAAGTTGTCAGTAGCAACTCAATGCGTACAGACACTAGCTAGACGACATTAACAACGGTACATTTATGCCGATGTAATAAAGACTTCCCGTGGTTCCTATAGAGTTATCATCTCAGACCAATAAAATGCGTTTCCGAGATCTGTAAATGTGGTTCCGTTTCTAGAAGACACTAGCGCGGGCCTCAAGTCCAAGCGTGAACAACTTGCTCCAAAGCAGGGTCCCGAACAAACCCACAAAAAAAATGCAATTAGCGAGACTATTGCAACTAAATTAGCGAGTCAAAAATTTCTCGTCGCGGTAGCATGGACTATTCACAAGATGGACTGCCTGGGGATTCCTGTTGACCACCGGCTTCAAAAAATCATTCAGCGGTTACGGGTACCATCCTTCTTTGATGAGAGCTCACACCTTGTTACCCTCGAAAACTTCGGAAGGACCTTGTTATATGCCGAAAACAAACAGCCAATTTCAACTGATGAACTTAATCACGGTCTGGAGCTCGCAGGGCCGGGAACCAAAGGAGGTCTTCTAATCGCCTTGTACCAACCTCCGGAAAATCAAACATTCCATAACGGCTATACAGCAGATACGTCTGCCTGCCGCACAACAGAAGCAATACGACAACTACTGCTTGTTTCTAGTGGCGGGCAAATGACCCTCGACGACATCAGTGTATTTGATACTCTGCCGTACTACCCCGAGGGCTCAGACGACGCCGAACTTGTGAAGGACGCTGAGCATGCTTTTAGCCAGATGGTTAAACTGAAGGCGCCAGATGTCGTCGTGTGTTCTTACCAGAGTGATTCAGTGGAACCTCTTGTCAGTGGATTGCAAAGCATAGGAGTGGGGAAAGTTTTTAAGGAGCCAAAACTTCGAATCACCGATGATTGCACTACTACACGAGTGAACGCATTCCATCCTAGCTACGCCGTCAACTATCAGCGAAGCTACAGTTGTTTCCGCAGACTTCTTCTCCTGGAATATGTGAAAGCTTTTTCTCATTTATCAAAGGAACGTTGGGAAGAAGAAGAATGGATGAGCAAATTGCGCTCACAGTGCGTCAACCTCGCCAAAAAGCTTTATAGTAAGGGACCCGGCTCAGAACATTGTACAGCATCCCTTATACTGATTGGCTACAGCCTATCAAAAGCCGCGATGGCCCATTATTGATGAGAATCGTTGGATTGCTATTCTCACCGCAATCCAGCTGAATTTCTCCAATCTGGACTATTTCAGGTCCAAACTCGACTCAGACATATTTCTAAAAAAGCTTGTTGGCAATAGTTTATCCTGGAACTGTGCTGACGCATCGCTTTTCCTTGCCGAAACCGAAGAGAAATACGCAGACGGTCCTAATAAGGCCCGGATTGCTCAACTATTAGTCAGTCACTTTAAAATCTGGTTCACTATCTCGACTATCCCAGAAACGCCGCGGAAGAACTACAGAAGGAGCGACCCAAAAGGATACTATGAACTGCAACATCTGTCAAAAGGAGCGAACATACCCCGTCATATGGCTCCTCTATACCATATTTTCTTCAGCTTTCTTAAAGATTTAAACCTATCCTTCTCGCGAGATGAGAGAGGGGAGTTATTATCCAACCTATCCGCCCAACAGAACGCCTTCCTCCGCTTTTCAAAAAACCTTGAGAAGGCAGCTGGGAGGCGTATGTCACTATCCGATTGCTTGCGGAACCTAGTAATTAGTAAAGACTGACGAAGTTCTCCATAACGGACAAAATGCGTGCTCAGACATACAAAGGGAAAGATCTCACCTGAATCGAACAAGCGAGGACTCGTTCGTTCACTTCGCCTATTCTGATGATGGTCAGTCAGGCGCTGCCTACGGCTAAGTGCGGGGATGAGTCGGATTTCTTACTATTTAACCATATGAGGCGTAGCCTATCCCCATTCTACCTTTCCATAGCAATCAAAGGCCATTTTCGTTCCTATGAGACACAGTAACAATGAACTGCTGTCATGACAGACGACTTAGCGACCCACGCGCACCATTGAATGGTAGCTGCGTATTGGAAGATCCCTAAAGAGACCGGGAGGCTTCGCCGAAGGTAAGCCGTGGACCGGATGTCCATGTTGGCTGAGTCGCACTGATGCTTCTATTATCGCCAAAACCCACACTTTGAATCTTATAGCTCTTTGATAAAACGGCGCGGCTGAAAAGAAAATAAGCGGGCTGAATTGTGCCGCCTTCGCTCTTGGGGGTGGGAATCTTGGAAACCCGTACCGGTTAATAGCACGGGCAAGTGTTACGAATAGCGTCAATAAACCTACAACGATCGGAGGTTTCAGGGGCCCAAATACCGGTACTGCATGAGTATGCGAAAAATGTAATACATTGACTAAAACAAGCCTGGTGATAGTAGCTCAAAAAGTGAGTAGCCCGATCGATATGGTTGCACGAACCTGTCGAGGCAGGGAGAAGGGGCCAGCCTAGAGAAGTGTGGCCCAGAATCCGACTACCGGTATGGGGTTAAGGCCCGAAATCATCATCGTCAGTTTGCAGGGGGGCCTCCTTCTACTAATTCTCTAGATGTAGTTACTATTGGCAGGCTTTTACTGGCTCCGGTCACAAACAGCCCTGGGTGTTGTAATCAACACCGAGCTTGATTTCCAGATAGAGGTCGTAACATAAGTGCTGCGGAGCGTTCTTGATTTCGCTGGTGATCATGTACCGCTTCGTAGTTGCTCAAGGGATCTAAACTTGGCTACGGGAGAACCAGGTTATCATAAATTGGCGTTGGATTTAGTCCTGCTTTTCGACCACCATACAAGCACATACCCGTTCACCCCCTTTTCTGGGCTGAAAATGGACCGCAATTGCTTGAAACACATGAAGTCTAGTCAGTTTTGGAGTACAGTAGATCAATACAGACTCTGCTGTTGAAGCTGTCAAATGTCCCCTCATGATAATCCTCAAATTTAAGCAAATCAATATACAGCTCTGACAATGCCTTTAGTGATGAATGGCTTGCAATTCCAAGGTTGTGAAATAGCTCCGGCTCCAAGGGCTCTAATCGACTGTTGATGTCAAGGACTTTTAGCGATGGAGGTAGCAAAGGACACCGAGGGAGAGAGCTTTGTGTGACATATAGCTTTTCCAAACTCAGAAAACTCTCCAAGGATTCAAGTTTTGGGACTTGGTCATGGTTCTGATCCTCGCCCCTCGAAGGACAGTCAAGGTGGAGTTGCTTGAGACTGTCCTGATGCAATGAAAGTGCGCGGATAATGGTTCCAGGATCTGAGTCTCCGTCGTAGAAACTTGGCGATTCATCATATCTAAACGTTTCAAGGCGTTTGCAGTTCCGAATTAAGCGTGCCAGAGTAGAGTAGCGCAAAACACTGGCCTCGATCTCAATGTGACGGACTGAAAGTCCTCCACTGATTTGGACTTCAGGTGGAATGTCATTGTGATTCCAAACCTCGCAGTTTGCGAGCGAAATGTATGATAACTGCCGGGGCCTAAAGATAGGGCACCACCACTGTAAGCTACTAAGATCAGTCGAACCAGCCATCCGCGAGTCGAAAATCCGGAGTTGACCCAGAAAATCATTGTCCTTTAGAAGATTGTTGAGGAATTTTGTGAATCGTCGATAGCTAGGTACCACGAGGCAGCGGAGATTAGGAGTTTGCTTGAGAAGGATCTTGAAGATGTCTTCAAGGCTGCTAACATTTGTTTCCGGTATATTCCAAACGGAAACAGACCTTATTTCACGGCCGAGGGAAGAGTTCTTGTGAAGTACTTGAGAAAAGCCCCTCAAACACTCCAAGCATTGTTCTGGTGAGAGTTTCCCATTGAAGCTTCGATATAGGAGACGGCGGCTTGAGTTCTTCATTGTTCTTGAAATGAGGTATAATGCGCAAAGTGACTTTGAATCAAGTAATTTGAATATCTCAAGCAGAATCTGTCGGGGTATGAATTCCATTGTAAACTTTTGTTCAAAGGGAAAAAGGAAATAATTTAGTTGTTAGCTTTGAAATTAGGGTAGAAGGGGCCTTCATAAGGCACCCGGCCCTGCATGGTGAAACATGTGAATACCCCAATGGTGGAACTGCTCAGCCACGAGTACATTACCTGCGTTGGTTCTAAGGCGTAGTGTTTGGAAAGGGGTTAGCAATTTCCTAAAAACGTAACTTGATGTTGCAAATCTAGGTAATATTGATAGATTGCTCATTCTTATCTAGGATTTCAAGGGAAAAGCGTAACTGCAATACCCAAGTTTTAGTTTTGTATGACTCCTCTAACACTGATATATTTTTCATCAGGTTACTGACTGTTTGTAACACAAGGGATCTTAAACGAGGTTTGTAATTTATAGAGAGAAGCATCACGAGTCCTTTGGAAGATTTGATTGGCCCAGTGGTTGGTACAGTATCTCATCGTTCTGCCTCAAGTGCCTGAATTCGCCTAGGCATGGAGTCCACTAGGGCGTTGAAGTAATCCTGGCCTAGTTCCTCCCGCGCTCGCTCTATGGGAGAATGCCAATCTAATTATTCTTTTGCCAGAGAAAAGCCGCAGGATCTAGACGATATATTATCTCTTTTACCTCATCTTAGGCGCGCTCGATAAGGTTCAGATCAGGCGAGTACGGCGGCCAGTCTAGCATAGGAATCGGGTGATCTTCGAACATTTCTGTCACATCTCGAACCGAGTGAATGGAGCTTTTATGTAGTCACAAGACCAGGTTCCCGAATAGTGAAGGGCTCAAGCTTCAGATTCTGGAGATATGACCATGCTGGTTAGTTGCGTGCACATTCATTAACTCGTGTCATGTGGCTAATATCTGAATGATCATCGCCCCAAATAGCTCCCCAGATGAGACGAGCCACAAAAAAAGGGTGGCGAACAGAGGAGGAGAAGGTCCAATTCCGTTAGTCATCCGAACATTGACTTTCGTCAGTTAGATTATTGGAGGCTGACGAGTACTTCACCAGCATATGGAAAGTCCGTCTGATGTACCTTTGGACAAGTGTAACTCCAATTATTAACACAAGGGTGGCAGCTGTGGGTCCAATTGCACCCCGTTAGACGAAAAGCCCAACCAAAAATATATTCATTGTATAAGCGCCGAGAAACAAATGATTGAGCGATTGCCAGCATAGTAGTCCGGCAGTTTCAACATCCGTGTCCAGGACATAGACTGCCTGATACACATAGACAAGCCACAGAACGGCGAATACGGCCACTCCAACCACCAGTATGAGCGGAGAGATGATGGCATATATGATACCTGTGCAGCAGTCAGTAGGTCCCACATGAAAGTTACGCGGAATGGCGTACATATGCAGAGTAAGTTCGTCAGGACTGGATAGAGCAGGCTCCATCGGATGGTCTTCGGCAGTGATCTGCGTGCATGGCGGTGGATGCGTATCCAGAGACTTTCTGGAAGCCGAAATAACACCATAACTGACTGTGTAAGGGCTTGTAGAAGCAGGTATGAGTAGAAGTAGCTAGAGGCCTTCGGCAGGTTGTCGGCTAATATTTGCGGGACCGACTGGACGTTCTGAACAATGTCTGGGACCATGGTCGTAACGCTGGACGAGACTGACACTACCAGAAACACCTGCACGTATAGGAAAATGAAATAATGTCTCTGGATAAGTACTTCCGTGTACAACGGTTGGAAGACGGTGACTCGCTTAATCATCCAGCATACAATGAGCGGGAAACAACACATGGAATTAACAACGCTATCTGTAGCAATAAACCTTGTATGACGGCCATCTGTTCGTCAGACAACTTGTTTAATCGTGAGGTAACTGGCTCGAGGTACAAAAGTCCGCTCAAGGATATTAGTATGGCCCAGAATATCGACAACGCGTCCAGCAGAATCCGGACAATAGCATCCTTGATGGGAGTGAGGCGCAAGGTGTCTCCCGCGTACATCCTTTCTGATAGCTCCTTGCTATCGAAAGGCTGTGCCTTCAACAGAAAAGGGCCAGCGGAGCTTTTGGTCTGCAGCACAAGATGCGCGGTGAAAAGGTCCGAAAAGACTAACAATGCCACATTTGTCGCGCTATTGAGCTCTCTTCGTAAGCGGTAACTGTGCCACTTACTGGACACCTTCTCCCCTATGCTAGCCACGGCTTCTGGAACTGCTGGACGAAATGTGTTCCGCTTCCCCCTGGAAGAGGGAGCTCGTCGTCTCGAACTTGTGACTTCGGAAAGCTCGCGAAGTTCGGTCTTCTTGATCTCACGGGACTCCATCCTTGGGCGAATGACCTGGATTGGACCATTGTTGTATAAGGAATAGATACTCTTCAGTGTTCCATTCGCCATCTCTGGCGGGATCCCCGTTATTGTTAGCGTGGTGACCCTCTTAGCCTGCTGAGGGTTGTGGAGATAGGCCTGTCTGATTCTCACGGTTGCCCGAACTTCGCCGAAGATGAGATGGCATATGTGAATGTTGCTGAGAATAACAACTAAAACAATCATCCAGCATCGAGGACTTTCTGACTTTTGCACGCTAGAGATCCCAAATTGATCCAGGCCGGAATTCCGGCGGTCGAAACTCGCGGTGTAATAGACCGGAACCAAGACCGGCACTGCGAGGAGGCTCAGAGGCACTAGGAGCTTGAGAGCCAGGGTAAGGAATCGCAGGAAAAGGTAGCTGTCCACTCCGTGATTCTCGATCATTCCTTCCTCGTTGCCAAGTATCCTCCGCAGTTGGCCAACCCACGCAACCCTTCCCGCATGCAGTCGTTCCAGGTCTCTACCTTCGTCACATCTTGGCTGGCTACAGGGTTGCCCCTATCATTAATCTGGACGCTTCACCATGTAGTCTGTGTTGGAACGTACAATATGTTTGCGTACTTGTCTTTAAGGAATGTAAAGATATACACTGCGATGAACAAGAGACATCCATATATGGCCAACGAGACGAGGAATGGTTTAGCCGCCAGTTTATCGCTTCTTTGGGCCCTTCCAGTCACATTGCTGAGTGCTGAGACCAGCAGTGCAGAGTCCATTTCCCATGTCCGAGAAGTGAAGGACAGCAGGCGCCAGATTCCCACAATGGAGGAGAACTTTATACCAATTATATCGTCGGCTTCAGAACTTTGAATCCTCCCTCAAAAATCTTCCCCGTTGGTATTTAGCACTTTTCAATAGGCCCATCACGTTGTGAATTCAAGGGGGGCCTCAGAATGGAGGTAGCTGATACAAGGCGCCCCTTGGAGGAGGTACTGGAGGTATATCGATGAACAGTATAAACGGATCGACATTGAGTGATGCCGGTCCTACAGAAGGGGGCCTAAAACTCCAAGCAAAGAGACAACCCGTGCCGTGCGATATAAATTGCAGAATATCGCTGTTCTGGTTCTCGTCCGATCACACGTAGAAGGCCGTCTAGCATGTTTCAGCTACGCGATTGTGCGGTGATTGTTTTGTTGGCTTTTGTGGTAAACTGTGGCAGCTTTGGGACCCAGGGCAGTCTTGACTTTCATGGAGCTTTAATAGACAGTGTCAAGGAAGAGACACCATCAGCCACAACTGTAACCGTGATTAATAGGATGTCAGAGTCCACTAGTGCCCCAATTCGGACATCGACGACTAGCTCCGAACGGATATGCACGAAGTCAACTGCCATGCTGACCCTGTTCACTTGCCAAGCAGTGTACGAAGCACCCCGATATCCAGCGGGCCACCGCACCAGGAATCGGCATCCAAATCGATCACAACCCCTTACTTCCAGCAAAACAAAACTACTCCCGTTCCCGCATCGAGCACGCCCGTCTCATCCAAGATTCCTTCGAGTTCTGGGTCACGATCGACAAGCCCCGCATACAATGCAACGAAGTACTAAAATTGTGTCCGTATCGATTTCCGTATATGAGGGCGGCGTAGAAAGCGGCGTCTCAGGCTGCATCTGGGGGCGAATCCGGTTTGGGCGTTCTTGTGGCCGTAACTTCTTTTCCAACCTGTCAAATGTTAAAAGGCGCACCGCGAATTAAAGATACTGGGTTACACCATGATCTTAGAGAAAACATCGAAGGCACAAGCACTTAGCTTCTCTTTCTATAAAATCCAGGAGGCTATCTGGCGGATTATGTCGGCCCCGATTACTTAATCTGTAGGGCCTATTCTTCATAGAGGAGGATTACGTTTACAATACTTGGTAGAAGGTAGCAGCATCACTCGATAAATAAAGTGGACTGCTACCTAAGTGTCACTAACCTAGGAAGGGTGGGTAGATTGTGATGCATTCTCGTAGCCCGAGCGTGAGAATGATGCTCAACACATCCAACCTTCCACTTGTTATTTATTCACCTAGTGTATGCACCGTTCCTCACTCATGTTGGTCATGTCAACGGCGGAATTGACCAGGTCGGAGCGCAAAAGGTTGCGGGGTTCAACAAAACATGCAGTAAGACAGCAATTTAACGAGCGGTGAAGTGGTTTAGCTGAAGTGCTCAAACACAGTTCGCCCCTGATAAGATTAATGTTTCACCATCGCGACAACCTGATGTGGATAGACTCTTCACGGTGTTCAACAGCAAGGTTCGACTCAGGCAAGGGTGTTTTCAGTTTAGATAATGCATACACGCATCATTAAAGATGGATAAAGCATGCTGTTCGTACAATGTGTGCGGGACCTCTAACAACCCTTCGATTATGGGGTGTGTTTCCGAAACTTCGTATGAAGCAAAGCTATAGTATACCGAAGTCAGTGTATAAATCTTAAGAGGACTTCTCTGGTTATCCTGAAGCGAAGAGAACGATACTGATACCGAAGGTACAGCTAGTGCTCGGTTCCGAGATGGCAATGTCCAGTAACGAGAAACGGGCCTTTTGGAGGAATAAATGCCGGCAGGCCCTTGCAGATCATATTAGTACGCTCTCTAGCCGCTTACAAGCCCCGGAGATTATTATTGCCTTCCTATTCGTGAGCTGACAACGCACATAGAAGAAAGGGTTGGCGTCGTGATTCCGCCTGACAAAGTGTGCCTCCAACCGAGCTGCGAGGACCCGTATAACTGGGTTGTTACAGATTCAGTAAAAGATCTCTTTTAATCCAATCTAAGCAGTAGCAGCGTTGGAGTTTTCCAGCAAATAAGCACTGCCTTGGATTGCGGTGATATGATAGAAGCCATCCTGCGGGAGAGGGTGCACCCAGGGAAGTCGGTACCAGAGGTCCTTGTTCCGCCAGCTCTTCAGACATGAACTGAGCTAACTTTGAACTATAGAATAACGCTGATGAGCATTGCTCTGCCAGTAGCTTTACGGCTACTATCAGAAGGCTTGGGCGAGAAAAAGAAGAGCTTTAGCTTGCGTACACGCAGTATCAGTAACAGAAAGAGCAAGAACTGTTGGAGTCCCAGGAGAAGTGGAGTGAAGACACCGAGAAACTGCGCCACGAGCTCGAGTAATGGAAGACTCAAGTTGAGGTAAGAAGCATCGATCTTCATGATGCAAAGGAAATGGTGGCGTCTGTGGTGGTTAACATTGAATGGCAGCTTTCTTATCTCCGTAAAGCCTTGGGGATTGAAGTGCTATATGGACCGACAAGTCCGTCGTGGAGTATCTGATGGTTTTAATTGATTGGCGTCCTGCTAAACGTGCTGATGTCTGAAATACTGCTTATTATACTGCTTAATCTAGATGGTTGCAACGGCTTGAATACATCTGCCTATCAAAATAATGGGCCTATTTATGATTAACCTTAACCGAGCCAGTTTTGTATGGGCGGTGGGGTCTCAACAATTGATACGAGACGCCCTGTTCTGACAAGTCCACTGGTGCCTGAATAGGTGGAATAGTACAGTATCCGAGATATCCAGAAGAGGTTGCTTACCCGTCCGTAACGCACAGGCAGCTGGCATCATTATGTATTTATTTTGCCCTAAAAATATATGGCACATTATATACAAAAGAATTTTAGGCGGCTTTCACGGCCTATTCATGACTTCGCACCTTAGTGTTTTTCTTGGCAGCCTCTTGTCGCAAGGCTCCGACAGCTGCCGTATGGATCTGAGAAGGTCATCATCACTTGTATAAAGTAGAATGTTAGAGGTGCAGTTTTATCATTGTCTTATATTTATGATATTAACAAATGTCTTTCATTGCCCACCAATGTTCTGGAGGGGATCCTGTACCAGACTTTACCGCCTTGAGCAATCTATTGAGCTATACAGTGTGGTCTATTTAATGATCCTGGATTCAGATCTGTTATCCACTGATTACTTATTGTTAATCTCAGATTGGATGTGGTAGGTGCATGTATCCGTCTCTAAATGCAAGGCTTGTTGGCACGAGACTTAGATATGTGGACTTTTGTTAGTTATGGTAAAGTCGTTAAATGCCAGTTTATATTAGAAAAGATGACATAATTAGTTATAAAGATAAACCTAGGTGTGTTGGTATCTCTTGCTGCGCATGTCAATCACAAAACTCCCGCGAAATTTGATGGTTGTTAGCTGGATGAGCCACTGGTATGGAACTGTTGATTTTGACCTCCGAGACCAAGCCATTCGTCCACCCATTGTTGCTAGGATTCGGGGTTGAGGCTCTCGAGCTCTTGCAAGGTCGGGCTGCATTGCAATGAGCGAGATAAACTGAGCTTGATAACAGGGCTCTTCTTCAAGAGCGACCTTTAGAATTGAATCAAGTGGACAGCCGGATTCGGGGTTGAAAAGTGCGGGGTCGATGTACAGAGTGTTTTGGAAGCGCTCTCCTGGAGGCGATCGACCCATTTAGTGAAGTTGAGAAGGTCAAGGGGCCTATCACGGCCAATGGATATGGCATCGCGAATTGTTGGCAAAATATTCTTCCATTCCGTCGGTCGAGGGTGAGCAGCGTTGAATAAAAGAAAGTTGTTGCTTTCTTTCCTCTTCCATCGAGCAGATTAGCTCCAACAGAACCTTGGATATAACGTCCAGAGGTATCCAGTCAAGGGGACTCTCAACGCTGTCTGGGAATCGTGATGGACCAAGGCTCTGTGGCAGTCCACCAAGATATCGCGAACTGATCACAAGGCTAGGGAACCATTCTTTCTTCTTTTATCCGCGCCCATCTTGCGCTTGTCCAGTGACCTGGCCGATTCTCTCTATTCCAACTGATATGTGCAACCTTTCTGATGTGTAATGGAGGATCCGTTCGGCCACATACTTGCTTTCGCTGTACCCACTGGCGGCTGCACTCAGTGGCTGGGGTATCACTGTTTCAGGAACTTGCTCTGCAGTGTTCTTCATTCGCGGGTAGTTGAGAATAGCTGCGACAGAGGACAAGAAAAAGAAGGAGGGACGGCGGGCAGAGCCTACGACCAGGCGGATAAGATTCAGTATACTATCCAAGCTTGACTCGAACGCCTTCAGCGAGAGATTGAAGTTAACTGGCCAAGTAGTATGGAGGATGAGGGTAGCGCTATTCCGTAGTTTATCATATATGGCATCACTGAGACCCAGTTTGTAGCGGGAAAGATCCGCATGGAGGAATGTAATTTTTGATTTATCAAACAGAGACGGCTCCGTACTTTGCGTCCCGTTGGTTGGTTCAGACTGGATTCTGTGGTTTAAGTAGTAGACGTGGGTGACGAGTGGATCCTGTAATAGTAGATCTAATAAATGAGATCTAATCGAGCCGCTTGACCCTGTGAGGACAATAACGCTTCTCGAGGAGAGCGCTAGGGATTCCTTGGTGTTGGTAATAGAGGCATCCAGAGCAATCTGGTCGACCTTGGTGCTGTACTGATCTAAGTAGGCCTGTATGGCTCTGAGACGTTCTCTGTCTGGGTTGTTTGGGGGTCTTTCAGTTGGTGCAGTGCTGACTATCCTCTCCGCCAGAAGGGTTGTTGTGGGATTGGAGTATATGTCGTCCACTTTTAGATAGGGCAGCGATATCGTAGACTGGAGCTTCCTGCACAATTGGGTAATGTGTAGGGAATCCAACCCCCGGGAAAAGTAGTCGACATCATCTGCTATCGTCTCCCGCTTCACGGTATCCGTCAGAGCGTCGCTGATTGTCCACTTCACGACTTCTAGATCCAGGTGGTCGGTGCCTTGTCTTGCTGGCCCCTGAACTGTTTCTTTCTTGGCAAGGGCCATAGACGCTATGTCTGCGGCGAATAATTTCCAGGTTGCTTGTCTTTGAACCGTTCCTTTCCCAGTGCGGACGAATTGTTTGGGCGGGTCAGCGAGTAAGATTCGATTTCTTAGAGACTCTGGCATGGGCTGGGCAATGGGTGTTGGCTTCTTCAATCGTTGGCCATAAGCTCTCAATGATGTGAACCTTCTGTTCCGACGTAAAGGTGCCTTGACTTTCCGGCTCGATCAAGAGGATAGTCTGCTCTTGCTGATAGCCAGCTAGCAATGCGTGACGAACTTCGGGGTGGGCGTTGATTTCACTCTGTTTCCTTCACAAAGCGAGTATCTTACTCAGGACCTCTTTGAGCCTCATCCCTCAATGCCGAATCTCTAGACCTACTGTGGCCGTGCGGATGATATCATTGTCTTCCTCAATGGTGAAAAGACAAACCCAATAGCCTTCAAACAGCAAGACAGGCTGGTAGCATTCTCCCTCTGACTGTCTGACAATGCCCAATTCGCATACCTTATTGTCGTGAGGGAAAGGTTCGGCACCAAAGCATGGGTGTACTTAGAGATAGTTCCAGCACTCTGCATTATTAATCCCCTGTGGCAAATTTAAAGGGAGTAGCCTGCATTCGCTTGAACCAAGAAGTTGATAGAGTGGGGTTGAATAAGAAATAATATCACCAGCCCACTGCGGAACACTTCCTCCAGTATACATGAGATACTTGACTTTCGTGGAGACGGTCTTTAGCGACGCAGGCCGCTGGGCGAGATCCGCGATAACATTGGGTGTTAATAAGGCCTAGTCTAGGTCGACGTTGAGAATTGCGTGATGGAAGCTGGATATGCTTGGAGGAGAACTAGGCAGAGGATAGACCGGGACGCAATCGAAATAGGCCGGGAGGAGTAAAGAAAACGCAAGCCCCGCAGCCTGTACAGACGATTAGCTCAGATGAAGTAATTGATGCCCCTGGTTTTTCTTACGTGAAAAGGGGGTAGCATGCAGTAAAACTGTCCAGTGTTGTAGAGACGGCATAAGGCAGTCGAGTCTTCCCCTGCGTCTACACCGAGTGAAGCGCCCAGCACAAGGCGGCTAACAAACTCATGTGTATAAACAACGGGTTTGGGATCGCCTTTCGCAATTAGCCACAAAGATACACGCGTTTGCGAGGAATCCCTTTACCTGTAGAACCCAAAGTGTGGAGGACAAATATAGGGTCATATGGCGACTGATCAATGCACTTGTAGGCCCTGGGGCTCTGATCATCTAGGGGATCCCGAAGACTTGGGATATTGAGCTTGATCATGACATAGTTCTTAGTGATGCTCGAGATCGACGGCGGTTCCGGATCTGTCGTGATGAGAACCCTGCAGTTAATCTGGGTTAGAAGGGAGCAGCACGTCGAGGCGCTATTGCGTGGCGATGGCAAGAATATCTGCAGCAGTGTTATGGACTGTCATTCCATCCCAGGCAAGGCGCACGCACCTTGTACCCTGCCTTGATAGCAGCGACGGTAACTATGGAATAGCGTAGGTTGGTAGGGCCAATGTATGCCGGTGTCTCGAAGCACGAGCCTTCTCCCAGGAACTCCTTCATAATGCACGCTACGTGGTTTATGGCATTGGAAAACTCGCCATAAGTCACTGTCCGGTATTCAAACTGGCGTTGGCTGGGGAGACCGCCAGGGTTCTCTTTTTCGGCCACGGGACATATGGCCCACACTCTGTTAGGATCCGACCTGCTACGGTCTTCGATAATGTCGGGTAAGAGCACCCGAGCGTGATGGGATAGTGACGAGGCCATTTTCCAGCAGAGTATGTATAGGGGGTGCGTCAGCTGATGAATTCCTTGGAAGGGTGGGAATGGCGGCCCTTGCGATCCAGGCAGGTCTATTTTATACAGGCGACGAGATTATTCCCTGTTAAATCTTGAAAGAATAAAACCTACGAACAGGCTAAAGTGCGATTGATAGCTGCCAAGTGAGTCCGAAGCTTCCAAGGGACCCGATCGTCAGTGTGGACGGCGCCCGTTCACCATTGCATTAAGCAAGGGTTCATTTCTCACCGGCCCTACGGGGCACTTGCATGGCTCCAACTCGACAACAGTACAAATTCTACAATTCAATGGAACGGCGATGGTTGAACGCATGTGCGAGCTAGGGTCGTTGGGAACTTCCTGTCCAACCTTCGAGGGCAATGAACACTAGGTATCATGTAAACAGGGATTTCCTCGCGGACCCCTAAAGAAACAGTCTCGTGGAGCGGTATCTGGAAACATTGAATTTCCAGCCATTCTGTGCTGTGCTACACCGTTCCTCACTATACAGCTCCGTTGCAGACTATGGGTGCGCTTTCGCTGTGACACCGGAACGATTCGTGTCCAGCCTATACTGTACGACGACCAGACAGGCAACAGTCTATGAGCTGGCTCTTCAGAAAAAAGAGGTTTACACATCTGCTGCCATTCGATTGCCGGAAAGGGCAAGGGGCCCTGTGACCTCGCTGAACAAAGACCCGTATAATTGGGAAAGGCATTTTATGCTAGGGTTTATTCATTCTTTGGCGGGCAGGATAGGAATGGATTACGAAGACGAAGCCGTTCTCCCATTACCGGTAATACATATGCGGTGATGTGTGAGGACTCGTGGAGGTTTGCGGAAATATACATACCTTCATACTTCTAGCGACTGTCCACGAGAAAGCATTTACGTTGACTGAATCCTGGGCCTTCTCACGCCACACCATATAGATGCCCGTTGGAGACGATGTAACAGCAAATCGGATTGCATGTGCCGGATACTGTACATATGGGTCTTCCGAAATCTGTTCTTGGAAGGGCTCACTCCCGTGGAGAAAGGTCAATCATGGCAGACAACATCGCCTGGCCTCCATTCATATCTACAATGCGTCGCCCGATATATCAGACGAAAACTGCCTTGCCTAGGACGGGCGAAGATAGGGATGACTGATCTCGCCAGATAGTCCGTATCTGGGGCAAACAGGCGGTGAGAATGGTGCACTGCTAAGAATGTTAATGCGTCTCTTTTTTCGGAAAAAATTACGCGCACTCACTATCTCAGGGAACTGTAGCTTGAAAATCGCAACTTGTATAAACCTCATACATTGCTCTTGGTACAGTAAGGGCAAGCTAGAAGGGTACAGAGCATCAAACGGGGAACACGCCGGGGCATACATAAGGCAGCCGGCTCCTGGATGGACGAATGGGGCCATCTACATAGCAGTAACGCGACAAAATTCTACATCGCCGGAAGAGGACCATGCGCTCAATACCGGAAGGACAACGGAGCAATTTGCGGCTGTGATCGGGTGTCTGCTCTCATAATGTCCAGAAGCGGAGAGTTTGGCAGCAAGGGGGTCTTTTTTTGATTGACAAAGCGCGCGTTCCTTGTGGAGGGTATGAGACGTCTCGTTTGGCCTATTTGGAGCGCTCAGAATGGCTGGAGGTGGTGGGACGTTACCATGGTCCAGTGGCCGCGCATATATATAGAGTCACCACACTGGGGGAATCCCGTCATTTGAGCCTGTTCTATCTAGTACTGCCAGCTATTTACGGAAACAATATTACCGAGCGACAATGGCGCCGTTGAAACCTTACCGCTGCCCAGCTTGCAACAAGCCTTTCAAAACCACGAGCGGAGCTCGCGCACATGTGGTTGACGTCCACTACCTCCCATGTCCGCAATGCCCGAAGCGATTCGAAAGTGCTAGGTTGCGAATGAAACATCAGCAGTCAGAGGGGCATTTTGAACGTGTCCGCTGTCAGCACATATCCCATGGTGCCACGGGCTCTCGCACTCCTCCGTGCGCCCCGAAGATACACGGACAATCTGTCGCACTGTCCGACGGTCAGCCGCCCTATTGCGGCGCGTGTGATCGAAAATTTGTGGACGCAACGGCACTCCGGCAACATCTGAAAGATAAAAAGCACGTGAAGCCGAAGAAGACGGCTCTCAGGCGCTGTGAGAAATGCAACAAGAGCTTCGCTTCCACGACGGCACTCAGACAGCATAAGGAGTCAGCATCCCACAGACCTCTAGCTGAATTGCGCTGCGTTGCGGAATCCTGCCGACTCACTTTCAACACTCCGTCTGCTCTGATTCACCACTTAGAGAGCGGCCGTTGCCCGTCCGGCTGGTCACGTCAGACCATCAACACCGTACTGCACCGATATGACAAAGATCGGATCATAACAACGCCAGTAATGCTGCTGGACACGTCATTCACGGGTACAGCCTTGAGCTCATCAGCGTCAAGTTTCAGCGACATCGTCTACACTCCCACAGAAGGGAGCGAGATTGACAGTGATTGGGAGATGGAGCGTTCGGTTATCGCACCGTTACCCCGAGAGGTTGATCATGGTCCAGTGCCGTACAAGCCCTTGTCCTGCCCCATGTGTTCTGCAAGCGGCAAGAAGAGAATGTTCGCTAACCAAACGGCTCTTGAAATGCATGTTTCCTCCGCAGCGCACGCGGGAAAGGCCTTCACATGCCCCGTCGCCTTCACAGCCCACGCTTCACCTACCGCTCGAGTCAAATCATTCACGACCTTAAGCGGACTCACTCAGCATCTCGAGAGTGGGCGGTGCCAGGGAGGAAAGTCTACTTTATGGAAGACAATGGATTATCTTCAAAATGAAGTGTTCATATTTGAGTGGCCTGGCAGACTCCTGCGGGGCTAGTTCTGCCGCAAGGGCAGGAGGCAATCGGATAAGGATGGGTGAAGCGTTCAACACGCTCGACCTAGCGGAATAGTGCACCATTTGTGCGAGGTCTGAGGACCAGTTATCCAGTACTTCTCCGATTCCAGGCAGTTAAACAATGTTCCTTATCGTTCGCGAGCGCAGTGCGTTGGAGCAACGAGCTGCTATGTTTGTGGTCATCCCGATGGCTTCGATTCCGTCACTTAATAGATTTTAGCCTCTGGGCCATAACTATTGGCTGTGAGGAGTCCACTAAAAAGAATTGGCGCAGCTGCATAACACTCAGACCAATATAAATGAGGGGAGCAATGTGCTCCTCAAAGACACCCAGCGCCTCTCACCCACTCGCTTCTTGAGCCTGCTCCCAGTTTCCGATCCTCAGTCCCATCAGTATCTGAACTCCCGAAGATAATGGAATCTAACCCCCCAACCCACACGTCAAGCGGTCGAAAACGACCCAGAACTTCCATTCAAGAGGCAACCGTGATCAAATATGCCGAAGTGAACCCCAAGAAAACCAACAACAATAATGACCAAGGGATCCTCAACAAAATTCAAAAATGTCTGAGTCGTGCCAGACACGCAACCGCAAATGAAGGAGAAGCAAAAGCCGCTCTGTTCCTGGCACAGAGGCTGGTGGCCCAGTACAACGTCACGCATGCAGATTTGATGGCCGATGACAACGTCGCGGACAAAGCGCAGTATGGCGGTCGGAGCGTGGTTTCCATCCACAACGCCATCGATCGCACCAAGCGAGCCATAAGGGAGACGTTTGTCAACAAGTTAGCCAGCGCAATGTGTATCCTTTACGATTGCAAATGCTATTCAATGGATAGGCGGACCTCCATTGAGTGGTCTTTTTTTGACATTGCGCCAAACACAGTCACGGCAGCAAGGGCCTTGGAAGCGGTGCATAACAAGACGCTTCAATGGGCATGTGCGTACAAGGGAGGGACGCCAACTTTCAGTTATCGCATTGGCCTTGCGGATGGACTGGTGAATATGGCCTATCGGACCAAGAAGAGAGAGATAGGTGATTGAGCTCTCCGAGGACTTAGTCTCTGGGGATAGCGATTTGCAACCCCAAGGGGGACACAACTGATGCTCATGCTGCGTCTGCTGGTCCACTGACCCAGGAACAAAAAGGCCGAATTTCCAACACCTAAAGTCCAGCCTAGACATGCCAATCTCCAAGTCGTATACATCTATTTCCAATCCCCTGCTCAGTTCCGCTTTTCTACGAAACAACAGATGTCGATAGCCCAGCACGGATAGTCGGCCTGGCCCATCATCACGGGCTAGTTCTGATCCTGCACCGGAACATCCTGATGTCTGGAATCTGTTCCAGATACGGGCTCTGGCCCATTTAGCTCCGAGTCTGTCATCGTGAAGTGCAGGGATGCTGCTTCCTGTTTGTCCTCAAAGCATCCAGACCAAAACAACGTTGATCAGGGTATAAATTCAGCATCAGCTAGCCGAGCTACCCGACTAGCTTTCGAAACATGTGTTTCGCGTGATATAGGCTTAAATTCCGGGGAATTTCGGGCCAATGATAGCGACCGGTCTCCGAAATCCGAATGCCGGCCTGCAGACGGTGGTGTCCGTTGATCTGCCTCCACCAGATCCATATAGAACATCATCTACCTGCGGGGATGTGCGGCAAGCATTAAACCCTGCCGTTAGCAGAAGCTCCTACCATAGCATCCCGTCAAGAATGGGCATCCCTTCCAGCAACCCGGATGTCAAGCTCTCATCCAATAGTCCATAGTCCAGCAGCAGCGAGTCGAGCTGCAAATTGTTCTCCTGGGCAGTCTGAGATGCAGTGGTATTTCTCTGTGCATTCTCAGCAAGCTTCGCAACAAATGTGGACCGGATCAATCGAAATTTGCGAGTCGAATTGTCCATATGACCACCCGCCGACTCATCACCAGCCGCGGCTCTAGCCTGCTGAAGATTGCTGATGAGTCGGTCCATTACCTGCAGCACGTCTATGGTCGATCGCATCAGGACGGTGTCCCAGATGGGGTCATTCAGGATGGAGAGCTTGAACAAGACCACGATGGTTCGGGCGAAGTAGCCAAAGAATGGAAATGAGATGCTGGGGTACTCGATAGCTGGGATCTCGAAGAAACGATCGATTGCCAATTTGGCGGTGGTGAGACATCCATGGAGAGCTTCCAGTCTTTGGAAGTCGGGAATGCCTTCTTTTCTGGCTCGTATAAGCCCGAAGATGCTCAGTTCGGTGTAGTATATCGGGGCAAGGAGGGTTCCTGTCTGTGGTTAGGCTAAGACTACAAAGAACAGGATGGGATGGGGGAAAGCAATCTTAAGGACGGAGAGAAAAGCTGACACTCACTCTCCTGCTGCAGTTCAGGCGATATCGCTTTCTTCACTTCATTGACCTTTCGCTGAAGAGCTTCGAGGTAAAATGGCAACGGCACGGCTGTTGATCCCCCTCGGATACTCTCCACCTCGTTCGCAATGCGTTGCAGCCGAACCTGATGGGCCAACACTTCATCATAGCGTGATTCCTTACTCTGAGACAGTACGTCAAGACATTCATCCATATATGACGTCCATTGCATAGGGTCAATCTGCGCAAGATACGATGAGACACTGGACACATTATTATGGGTTGATCAGCGTTGATGGATGGAAAAGACTGACATGGAGCTCATTACGAAGCACGCTAGCACCGCTCGGCGTTCCTCGAGTGTCCGCGTGGGTTCTTTCGAGGGGGCACAAGCACCATGGAGCCCGACAGGAAGCAAATTCGAATCTTCAGAAAGTGGCTTATTAAGACGCAGATCGAAAACGACAGTCATGGCGAGCTGCGTGACGCGTGATAATCTTGTCCCACTGCTGTGGAGTAAATGGTCATGCGCCCAAGCGAGAAAGGTCAACAGACCGAGAAGGAGGTCAATGTTGACAGCCCCCGGCTCATTGGAGAGATAGAGACGTTCGGTTGCAGTTCTTCTAATCTTTCCCCCTAGGGCAAGTTTGGTCGAGGTTGAGCGAGCAGTGACTGCCATGATGCAGAGGAACAGAAAGGGTCGCTCCTCGCGTAGCCGTTGCGCGTCGCCCGAAATATGGAGAAATGGGAAATACTTGAGCATCTGATTCCGGAATATGTCTAGTGCCTCTTGGGGCGAAGGCTCCGGTGCGCTCGAAGATACTTCGGGAATGGCAGCGACCTCGCCAGAGAGAGAACTGGAGCTGGAGATGGCCGAGGGCTGGGTGGTCTCGGAAGACGCAGTAGAGTCGTTCAGTGCCCGAGCAGCCCCGAGCGTGGATACAAGACTATCGATCTTGCCTTCCAACTGAGCGATGCGCGCAACGGTGTTGTTCTTTTGGGCATGCAGGGCCCGCGTGGAGGTGCCGGGCTGACAAGGCCTATTCAGCCGATGGCATCTCTCGCACCCCTGGCCATCTCCTCGAATGACGCATTTACATTTAGACTTAGAACAATGAAGACACGCCTATAGCCAGCCCGTTAGCGGAGCTTCGAAACATGGTAAACCGATACATACCCGTCCATATACCTGGGAACGCACCATCTTGGGCGATATTTATGACGGCGATCAAGGCCGGTTCCGACGGGATGAAAACATCCTTGTGATAGAGAAGAGGACAGGAACCCCAGGTCGGGGTTCGGCCGGCCGAATGCCGACAACTGGTTACTGTCAGCACGACTCGTCATCATCATACCGTTGGCAGATGCTCATTGGTTGCAGCTAGTGAGCGGTTGAGGGATGGACCGGGGTTCGGATACCGATCCCGCTCTTTATACATGCCAGGCAGTCTCATATACCCTCCGACCAGACCCACAATTCCAAAGTCATCACGATGAAGCTACCGGCGCAACCGGTATATAGTAAGCAGCGAGATCATCCGACAAAGCCTACAGAAGCAGGATATCACCCAATGATCGCCCTAGCCCGTCAGCCAGTGCACGTGGACTACATCAACTTCTTCAAGCTGAAGAGGGTCATTATCCCGATATCTGGTTCGCACTGATTGATTGGTTCTCTCTCTTGACTACTGACTCGTGGTAGGACCGTCGCAGTAAACGCCCTTCCGACAAAAGTCAATTTTGATTTTGCCGAGATCAAGCGCGTTTGTCAAGACTGTACTGCTGCGGGATTCAAAGCCATACCCGAGGCTGGACCTGCACATCCTTTTCGCTTCCTGTAGGTGAGCGCTGCTAGCGCGCCCCACGATCTAGCGCAGAGGCCTATGGTTTGGGGGAGATTATCAGATCATGCGTGTTACGTTTGATCCATCATACAGGACTCGCCTATTTCAGCGAGACGAGAGACCCGTTGAGGATGTGTGAGCGGTGTTTCAGGCGTGGGCGGTTGGTGAAGAAGATGAAGTCCAAGTTGCGTTGGTGGACATTCAGTTATATGTATGAGGAGGGGCGGCTCGGTGAAAGTAATTATCCGCCGAGCTCCGGGAAAGCACCATACTTAGTACTCAATCGAATATTGTTGTATGGTCAATGTTGTAGCTTAATTATGCTCTGAAGGCCATGGACGATTGCGTTTCAGGGGCAAGGCTATGCCCGGTATTCTGGTGATGTCCGTTGGATCAAGGGGATTGTCCAGGAGTTGTTCCATCATCATTATCATCGGTGTAGGCAGTTCTGGGTTGAACGACAATTGCCCCAGAGACAGGAAATCTACGATTACCCTTCGCGTCAGCACTAGCAGTAGCTTACGACTTGGCCAATATCTCTGGTCTGATCCAATGCAGAATCCCACTAGCTTACAACTCTCCCGACGGGCAAGCCAAAGACCCCTGCCTCTACCCTATGCATCTGCAATCCCGAGCAGTGGGGGCCAAAGCTACATCTACACGTCGTCTGGATATATCTGGAATGTATACGGTCTGACATAAATTCACACCATGGAAGCTGTAAATTGCCATAGTTGGGATGGAAGTAAGCCGGATCTCCTACGGCGTAGTGGGACCATACTGGCCATTGAGCAATCACATCCCATCCATCGCCTTGTGCTCCTGACTATACTCCACCGCAAGGCTGAGGGAAAGAGAGGGGAGGGGTATCTCACTATATAACTACTCCTCCCCCATCCATCCATTCAATCCACAATCCCATCCATCCTTCAACCCCTCAACCCCCCCAAAACACAATGACAAACCCCACCCTAATCCTCGCCCCCGGCGCCTGGTACCCCCCCACCGCATTCACGCCCCTCATCGCCAAACTCCCCGCCTACACCTGCCACCCCATCGCCTTCCCCTCCATCCAACAAGCCACCACCATCCACGACCTTCACCCCGACATCACCACCATCTGCATCCTCGTGGAACAAGAATCCAACGCCGGCAACGACATCGTCATCATCTCACACAGCTGGTCCGGACTCCCCGTGAACAGCGCCCTCACCGATCTCAGTAAATCCGCGCGCCAGAAAGCAGGTAAGCAGGGCGGCGTGGTGAAATTGATCTTCATTTCGGCGTTTATTCCGGACGTCGGGGAGAGTTTGATTGGGGCGTTTGGGGGAACGCCGCCGGAGTGGTATGTACGGGATGTAAGTATTCCCATTCCTTTATTGTATTTCTCCCTTGTTGAGGATATATTTTGGGAGTTGGGGTGGGCTAATTGAGTAGGAATCAAACGGGACTGTGTCAGCAAGCGATCCCTTCGGTTTATTCTTCCATGATGTCCCCGATGGGAAGCAGTGGGCCGAGACCCTCCGGCCTCATGCCTGGGCGACGAAGAATTCCCCTGCGACGGGCGCGGCGTATTTGGAAATTCCGAGCGTGTATCTGCTCTGTGAGGAGGATCACGCCATTCCGTTGTTTGTGCAGGAGTTGATGGTCGAGAAGGCGAGGGCGAAGGGGGCATGCATTGAGACGGAGAGGATTAAGACGGCGCATAGCCCGTGGTTGGTGGATCCGGACCAGGTCGCAGATTTTGTGAAGAGGCATGCGAGGGGGTAGATCGTGTTTATTTCTATGCGGATGTGACATTTGGTGGGTTTGAGATATCTATGGGTTATGGAGACAGGTACTGTATGTGTTTAATTAATACTGTTGAACAGTTGCGATAATCAGTCGGATCCGGAAATGATCTACTGGTCGTGGACCGAATATCATGACGGTATACATATATGAGCAATCCCCTGTCATTCATAGTATATCGGGCATCGGGAAGTCTAGGTTGCCGTGCTAGGCGAATCAAAGGGACAAGATCCTTGTCTCCCGCAGAAGTGGCGCATGCAGCACCGATCAGCTGATCTCTGCTGTTGCTTAGTAGAACGTCTATGTAGGTGAAGTAATGTTGTTCATGCACTGCATTCATCTACTTATCCCGTTCAACATACATGGCATTAATCATTGATCTAGGCCAGTGGTGGTCTAAGAATCAGGTACACCACATCTAAGTCTAAGTGAACGACGTATGGTCAAGCCGGCGTGAGACACACTTTCGTCCCATTCCGAGAACACAGCGTCAAGTTCAGCGACTCTTCCCACGGTCCCGGATCCCGACTCTCCAACGTCCGGAATTCCTGGGCCATCCGAACAGTCACATATCCCACTTCGGTCAGCGCATATTGCTGGCCGATACAGATGCGTGGACCGCCATTAAAGGGAAGGTACTCCCAGCGTGGCTTCAATTGCCCGTCCTCCCAGCGCTCAGGTCGGAATTCCTCTGCATCAGGTCCATAGAAATCCGTCCGTCGGTGCATCGCGTACACATTGTACGCGACCTGAGTGCCTTTAGCTACAAAGACCGGAGAGAGACCATCCTTGCCTCCTCCCAGGGGAAGGACCGTATCTTTTACCGCCAGACGCTCGTTCAGCGGTACAACTGGGTGTAAACGTAATGCTAATATACCGTCAGTCAAAACAGGGATAAAAGGATACTGGCGGACCTACATTCGTTCATACAGCACCGGAGATACTTGAGATTTCGGAGCTCCTCATACGTAGGCAACCGGCCGTCTAAGCTGACCACTTCCCGGCGCAGCTTGTCCCAGATCGCCGGATACTTGGCCAGCATGAAGAACATATTGCTCAGAAGGCTGGCGGTGGTATCGCGGCCGGCCAGCAGGACATTCATCAGTTCATCCCGAATGCGTTGCTTATCAGAGGTGCGCCGTGCCAGTTCGTGCGAGAAAATATAACTCTCGCGCTTGGTCTCGGGAATTTCCTTTTCAGGCCGAGCCGCTTGAACCGCGTCCTCAACGAATCGCTCGGCGAACTCCCGGCAGATGCGATTGCATTCCTGAGCCTTCCGATCGCGGTTGAATATACTGAATGGTCCAAGTATCAGGTTCATCGCGATCACCTCCAGGGAATAGTTGAATGCCGGGGCAAAACTAAGATCTGACTGATCCATCCGTAGACTGCCGACCGACTGTCCGAACAGAAACGCGGTAGCTGAATCCATCGTGTAGCGAAAAAAGAGATCTTGGAGGTCCACGACCGTTTCTCCGTCACGCGGGATCAGTGCGAAGAGGTCCGGAATCAAGTCTTCAAACGACGTCAAATCCGCAACCTGGTTGCGGGTGAAGCTGGGCCGGATGAGGGCGCGAGACATAGCCCAGTCGTCACCGTCCGTATCGAAAATTCCTCTCCCGAGGAGTGGTTCGAAATGTCGGGTACGGTGTCCGAGACTATAGTCCTCGAAATTGACTGATAGGATCGTTTTGATGTTGGCCGGTTCCGTGGTAAAAATGCCGGGACTTAGAATCCGTTTCGTTGAATAAGTATTTCCATAGCGATGATAAGCCTCCCGCAATGTCTCAAGGACCTTATGCTCTCCGACGGCGCGGACCAGCGGTAGCATCTGATCCAGTCCCAGTAAAAGGTCCTTGTTGGCCCTTACTGCAGGCTGGCAACCATGGCGGCGGACAAACTCGCAGTGTAGCAAGTAACGGCGGATCTTGAAGACGATCAAGGTCACAGGAATACATGCTAGCATGAGCACCTGTGCCAGGTGGAAAGTTGAATACATCTGCATAGTCGATTCGTAGATGCCACCAGGCTGTTGGTGAATGGGAACAACCGACCGCAAGAGTTACTGAAGAGCTAGCATATAAGTAGAATTCTGATGCCCTGACAGGGCTATGTCTTGCTTTTCTATCCCTCCTTCAAAGTATTGGATAGTAGACGCTATGATTCAGCATCATACACATCTGATTGGCGGGGTCGTCTAAGCAGAAGGATCGGCATTAGTTAAGAAAGGCATTGTCCGTTGCGTCAGCATTCTGGTCCAATCATCATTCATTCATGTTAAACCAGTTGTTAAACCAGTAATGTGTCCTAACTTCTACTCTCGGGCTTTGTATCTGATAGATCGATCATGGCGGCCGCTTTCAATCCGAATTCGGAGCTGTTGGGTCTTGAGCGATCGATAGGGATACTGGAGCAGTCCCGAGTGAGATACTTCATGTGCAATGAGATAATATGGGGCAGAACTTATAGAAGTCCACCAACAAATATCATCGGGTTATGCTAGCCATCTTCCACGGCCATATGGAGTAGCCGAAGTGAGAAGAAGTGGAAGTATAGTATGGAGGATGGAGACAGCGGAAAATTGATGATCCGCCGGAGAAGACGGCGGTGAGACGGAGGCGAACCATGGTTGCCATGAGCTACCGCCTGTTGTGTCTGCCGCGAACCATGGGAGCGAGCGGCAGCCGACCACCGGATGCGCGACGGGCTGGCTGGTCTTGAACGGAGTAGGCTAGGTACCAGCATCATCCCCTCCTGCCCCAGGCCTTGACTCGACCCTGTTCAGCTCAGCTCCGACGTTGTCCCGACAGGATTTTTCACCTGGCTGGCCGTGCGCTGCCCCTTGTGTGCTGTGCCGTGCGCTGCTGTGGTCCCTTCCGTTTCCTTTTTCTTCCTTCTCTCCAAGTCATCCCTAGGCTGAGGAGAAATCCCGCATCCGCCAACCATGGAGGACGACATGTCGGGGCATTATCAGATGCTGGAGGAGCTGGGAAGTGAGTGGTCCTGCGGAATGTGCCAGTGGGTGGAGGCAGGACATCGGGACTGACCGTGTGCGCGTGCAGGTGGGAGCTTCGGGACGGTGTACAAAGCGATCGAAAAGGCGACGGGAGAAATTGTGGCAGTTAAACATGTGCGTGTGACTGCGCGGGGCTCTTGACGGTGACCCAATTGACCTGTTTGATTCTACAGATCGATCTCGAATCCAGTGAGGACGATATCCAGGAAATCCAACAGGAAATCTCCGTCCTCGCCACATGCGCTAGCCCGTTCGTGACGCAATATAAGGCCAGTTTTCTGAGAGGTCATAAGTTGTGGATTGTGATGGAGTATCTCGGTGGTGGATCCTGTCTCGACCTGGTAATCCTCGAGTGACCTGTCGACTTTAGACCTCTTGCTAACCACATCCAGCTGAAACCCGGAGTTTTCAACGAAGCACACGTCGCCATTATTTGCCAACAGCTCCTGCTGGGTCTCGACTACTTGCACAGCGAAGGAAAGATCCACCGCGACATTAAAGCCGCCAATGTGCTGCTCTCACACACCGGGAAGGTCAAGTTGGCGGATTTCGGCGTTGCCGCACAACTCATCAACATCAAATCCCAACGCAACACGTTTGTCGGAACGCCGTTCTGGATGGCGCCAGAAGTGATCCAGCAGTCTGGATACGACTACAAAGCGGATATTTGGTCCCTGGGCATTACGGCGATCGAGATGATCAACGGCGAGCCCCCTCATGCCAGCACTCACCCCATGAAAGTCCTGTTCCTGATTCCGAAGGAGCCCGCCCCGCATTTGCAAGGCGACGAGTATAGCAGCACCTTCAAGGACTTTATTGCACAGTGTTTGACCAAGGACCCGGACCGAAGACCGAGCGCCAAGGACCTGCTGAGGCACAAGTTCATCCGCAATGCGGGTAAAACGGAGGCGTTGCAGGAACTGATCCATCGGAAGCAGGACTGGGATGCCGGTCGGGGCGTGACACGCAAAGTAAAGTACTATGCGGAGTCTCTGTATGTGGTCCGGAATCCAAACATGTCACATCCGCTAACGGCCTACTGCAGGAATACGATCCGGAACTTGGACGACGATGATGGATGGGTCTTCGATACGGTCAAGGCCCCTACTATGGCGATCCGCGAAGAACACGACGACTTGGAGAATGAGCCGGAGCCCGAGGACTGGGTGTGCGATGAGACGGCCGAGATGATGGACGACCTACACGTTTCCAGCCCACCGATGCCACCCAAGCATGCCGTCAACACCGCCGTCAGACGCACGCCGGCCCCCGAGCACAGTCCGTCATTGCGACGTGCCAAGCGGCGGTCCAGCGGCGTGAAGCAACCGCTTGGGGTGGACATGAGCTTCGGCAACAGCCCGTCGACCGTCCGTCAGTTCCGTCGGGTGTCGGACAAGATCCCCGCCGACGCGTCCTACCCGTCCCCATACTCCTTTGGGATGGACGAGAATTCCAGTCCCAAGACCCTGTTCTCCGAGCCCAACAGCAAGGAAGCGCAGCTGGGCCGTCGCGCATACAGCAAGGCGGTCGGGCTTGCCTGTCAGGAGGTGTTGGGCACGACGGGGGACGATGAGAAGCGCGAGGCGATTTCCCGGCTGGCGGAGGCGTGGAGCGATCTGGAAATGATCGACCCGGAAGGCCTTTACCACATCGTGAAGTCGATGACGGAGCGGCTGCAAGGGTAAGTGAGGAGGAATTCCGAACGAATGGCAGCGATGCTAATGAAGCGGCGTTACTCTAGCGACCCCAAGCTGGCCGGCCTTGTCCCACCCGCTCCACCGGCCGACTCCCCACAGAGGCCGCGACTGGTTCTGGCGCAAAACAACCCACACCTGAAAAGCCACCGGCGCCGCCAGAGTGCGGCAGTGGCCGAGCCCAACCTGCAGCCGACGCAGTTGGCGAATCTCCCGGGTCAGCAAGTGCCGGGCATGGAGCACACCAAGCAACTGTCTGATGTGCTCTACCAGCGATGGTCCGAAGGCCTTCGCAACCGCTGGCCTGGCATCTAATGCGCCCTTGCGCTCTCATATTATTCCTGTACAAAACGGTTCGGGGCGTTCATATGTTGGCAAATGGCCTTGTATTTTGCACCTACTTCTTCTTGCATAATTCCCCCTCGCTTGATATGCACTTTTGGCCCTCTGGGTCCTAATTTGTCGTTTGGGGGCTGCTGCTGGTCCATGACCAGGAACACACCAGGGTTGGTGTCGCAGCATGCCATCCCATCGGCCTTGCTTGGTTGTCATCCCCATCCGGGACAGGTTGGTTCTGGAGTTCTGAATCTGCGCGACTTTATTTCTGGTGATCATATTTCGGCGACCTTGTGTATTAACTTCGCTTCTGATAGATAGGCCTCTTGTTTTCTTTTCTCTTCTTGTTTCTTTTGGTTGGGAGGACATTTTGGACTGTGTATGCAATTGTGTCAAGTATTGCTGGTGTTGGTGTAAGGAAGGCGATTTGCGCCGTACATGTATGAGTCTGCAGCAATACATACTGTGTCGACCCTAACAGACGGGTCGGGAATACCGAGTTAAAAATAGGACGGTCATCATGCGGACGATACGAGGCAGGGGATCAGGTAATTAGCCGTGGGACCGCCTCGTGTGCAGGAGAGTTGCAGGTAAATTGTCTCACGGGGCTGTCTACCACATGAAGGATGATCCTCATATTGGATGATAATGGATATGCCAGGCCCCTTACTTGTCTCTTCAGAGGCCGCATACCACATTGGCTGTCCCCCGCATTGTGCCAACAGGAAGATACCGGCCTGACTGCACTCTCATCTGGTCACCGGAATGATTGTGGCGATCGGCCCCTGAGGGCCGGGTGAAACGAGGACTGGAGGCGGAAGGGATGCGCGTTGCGACCCGCTGGCGGTGGCATCGAAGCCGCCTTCACTGGAGAGCTTCTTCTTAGTGACCTTCACTAAGACCCGTTGGGCCATGCGCTCCCTTGGCCAGACCTTTTCTTCTTATTCCTCTCCATCGCTCATTTCTTTTTCCTGCCTTTCTCTAATTTCTCCTCCTCCTTCTCTTTCTCCTTTTCGGCCGGTGTATCTGGCTTCTTAGTCCAGACATTCTTTCTTATCAGCAATTCCCCCCTGGGTCCGGTCTGGACTCGATCTTCTTTCTGATACTCACTTCCCCCCTTCCCCTGCTTTTGGTTGTCCCCGTGGGATGTCATGATTCTGTCGCTTCAGCTCCTATAATCGACCCATCCGATCCGTCTCATCCTCAGCACGCTGGTCCGTCATGGGGGATTCCCCGGGAACGGGCAGGGCGGGAACCGCGCCGGAAACATCCCCAGCACAGCTGCAGCTGTCGTCGCCCGACCACCTCATCCACGCCCGCCCATCACCCCCCACCGATCATGATCAGTCCATCCAGCTCAAGCGGGCATCCCTCCCACCTCGTCCTCATGGAGCCGCTCGCCATGCCAAACGCCTGACCTTGAACTTCCCCATCAACATCCCTCCGGCCGCTGCCTTCGACTCCGGTGTTGCCTCCCCTGGATCCATGACGCCCGTGACGCGCTCGTCTGCCTTCCCCTCGCCGATCCCCCAACTTGGTGCCCCGCTGGCTTTTGACGAACAGGACGATGGCTCGGGTCTACTGACGGCCATCGCCTCGCAGGAAAGAAGGGTGCTGGAGCTGCGAGAGGAGCTTCATCGGGCGGAGACAGAGCTGGACTCTTTGAAGAAACAGTGGGCCGCAACGGAGAAGACAAAGAAACGGACGGAAATAAGCTATCGGGCGGAGCCTTTGATCCCTCTCCGGTCCCCCGATCAGACTCCCGAGCGCTCTCATCGCCGAGACCCCAGTCTGAGCAGCTCCGCGAGCCCCTCAGTGGCGCACGCACGACTCAGCCGGGAGCTGGAGCGCCGCCACAGTCTGCGCTCCGCTGCCACCCAGGGGACCACCGTCTCCGCCAATGGACGGCGGGTCTTCCGGGGGTCTCATACGCGCACCTTGTCGCTGCTCTCGCCGGCCTCGGTTTCAGGGGACAGCAAGACTGGACTGGAGTTGGAACCCAACCCTGCGAATGTCCGTATTGGCCGGTCTCCCCGGTCGGCAACTTTGCCGTCATCTGTGGAGCGCAGCGCCATCTCCGGCAGTAGCGCGAAGCCCACCGATGACATGATCTCGCAGTGGCGGAACACCATGCCGCCGCCGTCTCGGGAGGCGCTGGTACGCACCGGCAAGCAGATGGCATCGGACTTGCGGGAAGGGCTCTGGACGTTCCTGGAGGATATCCGACAAGCAACCGTGGGAGAAGAGGGCATCAACGCGACCGAATCCCGGGCGGTGCCGCCTGTGCGCAAGCGGGATTCCAGCTCGACGTCGCGCAGCAGAGACCGGTTGTCCGTGCAAGGAGGCAGGTCGTCCCAGGCGGGGACGAAACTTTCTGGTAAAGACTCCAAATCGGCGGACATAGACGCGTCGTTCTGGAGTGAATTCGGCATTGATACACCTGGGCAGCAGTCCCGGAGCGCTCGCGGAGCCTCCAGTACCCCAAGCGGGCGGATCGAACAGGGCGCCTCCCACCCCCCGGATGTTGAAGACAACTGGGACTGGGACTCGCCGAAGAAGACACACACGCCGTCGTCAAGCCGCTCTACGTTGGAGTCGAAGCAGGACCAGTCGCCGATGACGCAGAGCAGCAGCCCGCGCACAAGTACCAGGTAGGTGTGGTGATTTGGCGTATGTGTCCGCCGTGATTTTACAGTTATACGCTGACGAGGACTAGCTTTGGCGACTGGCGCGCCCTTCATGAAACTACTGTTCCCGATCCCAGCGTGTCCGACGGCATCCCCTGGCCGGCCATCACCAAGTTGACGCCCTCGAAGCTGACGCGTACGGCCTCGAACCTGATGGCGGAGTGGGAGCGGAGCCTCTCGCCGGATCGCAAGGAAAACTACTCGCCGGTTGATAAGGACGACAAGCGCGATTGATCACTCGATATTTTGTTCCGTGCCGTTTGACTACGGCTTTCGATTCTTTTCCAATGCTATTATAAATATGGACACGACATGCGCGATCGATGGCTGATTGGCCGAGCGTCTGCAGGCCGACGGATTAACGCAGGGTTATGATTGTTGCCGCAATACCCTTTACGATGAGCGTTGATTTCACTCGTTAGATTACCTTCTTGGATGTTTTAGATTTCGAATAGCACTAGCTTGTGTCTGCTATTATAGTATAGTTCTGTTAAATATAGCGTACGAAGAAAGGTAGACATACGAGGGTCGCGAAATCCCGGAATGTCACGTGGCACCGCACCTGTGGTCTCTTCCGTCCGCCGTAAACAAATTTCGCCGTCGCCATCTCCGCAAAAAGTCCGGGGATGCGATAGTCGGTCCGTCATCTTCAACCTTACACCCACCAGCACGTCACATAGCTCTCCTCGGACCGTCCCCACCTCATCCGTCGAGCTCCATCAGCAACACCACCACCAGCTACACACCATGAATGCTCCTGGCATGACTCCGCCGATGGGCGGTCTCGGAGCCGCCGGCGGTCCCAACATGGCCGGCATGAGCGAGCAAGAGCAAGCCATGGTGAAGATGGTACGCCCTGTGCTCCGGCCCTTCTGTCAATTCGATCTAACATGATGGATTAGATGTACGGCGCCATGGAATCCTGTCCCATGAAGACCGTCATCTCCGGTACCATGGGTTTCGGACTGGGTGGTGTCTTTGGTCTCTTCATGGCCAGTGTACGTTCCCCTCCCCCCCC